GGGGGGTCCCACGGGAAAGGAAGGAAATAAATACCTTGAGCCAGTGGATGGAGGTGAGGGAGTTGTTGAAGCCGGAGAAGATCACCAAGCAGCAGAGGATGAGGGTGGCGAGGTTGAGGAGGATAGGGGGGAGGGTTTGGAGGAGGAGGGTTTTGGGGGGCATTTTTGCGCTTAGTGTTTGGTTGGTGATGCCGGATGGCAGGAGAGGAGAAGAGGATGTCTGACGGAACGAACAGAAGTTCCTCGAAAGAGGTTGGGTCAGTGATATACACCCATCACCTCCCACGAGGGAAGGGGGAGAAAAAACACCGTCGGGGAACTACCACGATCGGGAAAATCTCAACATCTCAAACGTGGCTCACGCCGATTCACACCACGCGCGCATGGTGAGATCTGAGGCAGGCAGCGACAAGCAAGGGAAACACAGCTTGGCTTTGATGACATGACAGGGGCTCCACCACGCCGGCTGCTACAGGGGGGAGGTTGTTTCGGGTTCTTCTGGTGCAGAGTAGAGTGTATAGGTGGGTATTCGCAGCTTATGGATAGGTCTCGGGTTGTATGTTATTCTGGTGTTGAGTTGGTTGTAATTTGAGGTCTGAATGTGCTTCGTTTGGTGCATCTGGCTGTTGGCTTGGTGGTCAAGGCATCTTCATCTTTGAAGACAGGGGCTGTTGTCGCCAAAGTTTAGCGCTTAGCTGCTGCACTGCCTCTGGAACGGTTGCCCGCCCGTCAGCCACAGTTGCGGAGGTGCAAATAAAGTTTGCTGGAGAAAATGTCTAAAATAGCAAACAGCTTCTCACCCCTGTCTCCTTCTGCACTAAGGTCTGACTTTTATCGTGATCCTTTGACGATCCTTGAAAGCTGATGACCCCCGTCAACATCCCGACGGAGATTAGTCAAGGCGTCTCTGTTTCTTTCGCTCGTTGGGTTGCGAAGGCATATTTCCAATGCCTAACATCACCCAGGACCACTCCGCAACATCATCAAGCTTCGAAAACCATGTCAAACGGCAACCACCGCCAGTCAGGCATGGTAAAGAAGCATCAACGCCGGTGCCAATCACTAGTTGCTGTCTTTGCCGTGCTTCCGGGTGTCTCGGACCGGGCAGACATTTAGATATTTTGCGTGCTGAGGGGCGAACGTTCCAATCAAACATACTTTCAAATCTATCCTCCCTGTCCAAAAAACACCACCCAACTATGACCCCAAGCTCCGTCATTCTATTCCAGAAATCAGGCAAACAGTCTACCCACCGCCTCCGCAACAGCCTCCCCGCTCCCGCAAACAACCCCCCCCCTCTCATCCGTCTCCCTGACCTCCCTCTCCAAAATCCGCCTCCCCCCCCTTTCAAACTCCACCGCCTCCCCCCCCGCGCACTCGACCACCAGCGCGACGGGACAAAGCTCATACAGCCTCCTCAACTTGGCCCCGTGCCTCTCACTCACCGGCGACAAGTAAACCCCATGTCCCTTGACCAACCCGTGGACAATATCCGGCACCAACCCCCCCGAGTACCTCAGCGTGTACGCCTGGGCGATATACTGGCTCACCAAGCCGGCATACTGCGGTATATCCGACGCCGACCTCAGATTGGCCGGAGAAAAGTATTTGGTCTTTGGGTTCGGGGCCGAGAGAGACAAAGCAGGGCGGGTGAGTTCCCATGTTTGGGTTAGGTTGTCAAGGCCTGCTTCTAGGCAGATTGATGGAAGGGAAGACAGGAGCCGGATGGCGATGATGGCTGTCGTGCGGGGGCCGAATACGCCCAGGATGGAGAGGAATTGGGATTTGGAGGGGGGTGTGTTGAGGGCTGAGGGGCCGTCCCAGAGGCCGATGATGGCGCCGACCGTCCAGTTGGAGGGGATGATGGAGCTGCCGTCTAGGGGGTCGAAGGCGAGGGTGTATTTTTCGTGGCATGAGGAAGAGGAGGAGGAGGAGGAGGTGTGGACAACGGGGCGTTCGACCGGGTCTTCTTCGCTGGAGGCGGTGACGATGGTGGGACAGGAGGTGATGGCTTGGCGGATGTGGGCTTCGGCTTGGACGTCGACGTTGAGTTCTGGGGGTTGAGATTAGTATGATTTGGTCTGAGGCAAGGAGATGAGAAGGAAAGCGTACGGTCATCGCCAAAGATGTTGGAGGTGCCGGCTGCAGAGACGTGGTGGGAGCTTTGGAGGTCTCTGGCGATCTCGGCCACGCTCTTCAGAAGGGAAGGGATGACGGAGCTGAGGAGGGAGTCGCGGGTTCCGTCTTGAGGGATGGCTTTTTGGAGATGAGAGATTAAGTCTGTCGACAGGCGAATGTCGGGGGTGGTGGTGGTGGTGCTGCCCATGATGCCTATGGCTTTGTCAGTTGAAAGAGCTACATGAGTCAAGCTCTGAAGTGGAGGAACCGACCTGAAGTCGAAACCTGAAGATACCAAATGATTCTGTTGGCTGTGTGGTATATTTCATGAAACTTCAGCTCATGAATCAAGAATATTGATCAAATTTGACACTGATGCTGAAAATAGATCATGTCAAGTGTTGGGACCAAGAAATGCCGCGAAACCCGACTTGATCTGAATTTGCTGGGATCCAACCAGCCTTCTCAGGGTTAGGGTCAATTTCAAGATCGAGGAGCGATATAGGAAACAATCACTCAAGTAAATAGGAATAATGGCTCAAGCACAGGCTGAAAGAAGCTATCAGAATGAAGAGCAAGATAAGGAGTTGCACAATGCTGTTATTGTGGTACCAGACTGAATGAGAGCCCACAAATGTGAATACCAAGGCCACCTATTGTCAGGTTCTTGCCTTTTCACTCACCACGATATGCCAGGCTATTATAAGTATTTCCACCGTCGACGGTCGAAATAACTCTTTAGCCCCGCCTCCTATTCCTTCAACACCAACCACAATCACCCTGTCGGCTGGCAAAACGCCGAGATGTCTCCCACCAAGCCGCAGCACATCAGCGGTGAGTTCGTGATCACCGACGACGACAACGTTGGTAAGTTGACATCGCAGCCTCATTGCCTTGATACCCAAGCCGCCCATAGTCCCAATCGCACACACAAGCCGCACTTCCTTCTATTCCTCCTTTAGCCCACAAAACCCAGCTCCAGATTCACACTTCCCTTTCCACCCTCTTCGTTCCCAAGCCATCACCACCATGAGCGAACGCGTCGAGGTTCAAGTTCGAGCCCGGCTCCGAGCCGGCTCTCGAGCACCTCGAGGCTCTCATGGACAGATTCCAGGAGCACGAGAAGGCTCTGGGACGAGTCCATGAGGGCCAGGAGGCGGTGCTTCGGGTCCATCTCTTTGTCCCATCATCCTTGAGACTCTTGTCTTTGCAACTCACATCACCCAGCCCAGAGACCATTTCTTTTCGTCCGATCTCACTCAGGGCCTTCCTTTCGTCCCATCTCCAACAATACCCTACTCCTCCAGCCATGTGGCCCGGTGGGCTACATATCCTACCTTCCAGAGCCTCTTGCCCATCTACAAATTTCTTCGCCTCTCGCAATTCCCTTCACCTTCCACAACATCTTGACCTCCCTGAACGCCTCTCACCTCTCACCTCTCCCCAGAACCTTTCCCTACCAACTAACACTTTCAACCAGGTGAACGGGCCCCAATGAAGCGCTCCTTCGACAAGGTGGACGAGATCCCCAAATACGAGGGTGTCCGTCCCAAAGCCCTCGTGTTCGACGCCAGCGCCATTCTCGAGAACCGCACTGGCATCTGCCACGCCATGCACAAGGTCTTCCAGAAGGTCTTTCCCACCCACCCGATGCCCACCCAAGACGAGATCATGGAGGCGTACTCCTACAGCGGTGCCTGGTGAGTCGCAAAAAATCTTCTCGCTTTTCTGCACTCTCTAACCAGACCTCTCCCGCAGGCCTGACATGCTCGCCCACCTCGGCATCCCCAAGAAAGAGTACCGCGCCAAGCAAAAGGCTTCCGAGGAGGCCTACATGAAAGCCTACGGCAAAGCCAACGCCGTCGAGCAGCTTGCCTATTTCAGCGACTCAGTCCGTGTTCTCCGCGCCGCCAAGGAGGAGGGCTTCGTCCTCGTTCTCTACAGTGACAACAGCCCCTTGATAGTCGATGCCCTGCTCCGGTTGGGAACCGTCGACATCTTTGACATCTACATCGACAATGAAAACGCCTGGATCAGCCGCGGTGTCACAGCTCCGCCCCGTCCCATCGAGACCAAGGACATTATCGAGGCGTATGATGAGTACCTCAAGGACAAGGGACTCAAAGTGGAGGGTAAGCCATTCCGATTTCCTTTTTCTCCCCTTCAGCGGCCAACTGAATTCCCGCACACAGGAGACGACAGCAACAAACTCAAGCGCGAAGAGATGATGTTGATCGAGGGCACCATCAAGCAGCTCGAATCCCATCGTGAGAAGGGAGAGAATTCCGAGACGTGGAATTACCCTCTCGTGTACGTCGCCCGCACCGAGGCCGAGATCAGCGTCGAGCAGGAATCTTGGTGCGCTTTGATGGTGGAGGATTTGGACGAGTTTGGCTACGCCGTGTTTGGTCTTGCTCTTCCCGAGACTGCTCCGGCTCGTCCAGTTGCACCCGGTCGTGCCACGGACAAAGTTGTCGATCTGGTCGAGAAGGAGGTGGTTGAGGTTGAGGATGGGGAGAAGGATGCCGGCGAGCAGCAGAGCAAGGATGCTGCTGATGAGTAGGAGGACAAGGATACCGAGGAGCAGAACAATGTTGCCGAGGAGCACCGGAGAACCGATACCGAGGAGCGACAGGAGCAGGAGAAGGGTTCGAACGTGGAGAGTGACAAGGCCGATGAGGTAGTCTAGGCGCGGCGGGTTTGGCCCGGGAGAAGTTTTCTTTTCCGAGTCTGGGGTCTGTCTTTGCGGAATCTGGGGGTGTCGTTATGAGCGGAGTTGGGGATGGTTTGCTCTGGTCCTTTGAGCCATGTGCAGCGCGAGAGTGCGCGCCAATGATACCCGATTCGTTTCTTCTGCGCTGTCACCTTTAATTACTTTAGCTGTGGAAAGTTTGAATGCTTCTCTTTGCTTTTGCTGGGGATATGGGTTATCGCTTACCTTTGGTCAGTATATAGACCACAATCAATGCCTTCCTCACTGCCATAGAAGCTGTGATGGCATGGTAATAAACAGCATTCTCTCATGCCACGTATGGCAATCTGACATCACCAGACATCCAAAGACAGGTGCCGAGCATAATGAACTTCGGTTACAATAGTCAAAAACAGAAAAAACCATCCTTAGCTGTCACAAAATTATTTCCTCAGATATACCCCCCGGTGGTACGGCAGCAACATGGTCGAGTCTGTTGGCGGCAGAACAGTCAGAATCGGCAAACAGGGGCGCCGGAACGTAACGCACAAGACGCAGACACCTTCCATAAAAGCATTAGCGAGTTGAATTGTCTTTCCTGCTCGCCGACTCAGTCAGATCGGCCGCCAACATCATCTTGAAAACTCACTGCCAAGAAGCTTACATCAACCGCACCTCCCAAGACCACAACTCATCACCACCACTGCTGGCTACCTACCCCAAGCCACCATCCAATCTCCCCAAGCTTGACCCCCTTTACGTTCTGACGCAACAGGCTCTTCGGACATATCTTCTTGCATTGCCGTGGGTGTGTGTGTGTGTGTGTGTGTGAGCTGCTGCTGGGTCGTCGTCACCAGCAGCCAGCCAACAACCATGCGGGATGGCACGCCGCTGATTGGATCCCACCCGAACATTTTATGCACACCACTCCCACGCCCCTGTCGCACAACACACACACATACACACACACACATACACACACACACACACACACGCACACACGCACGCACGCACGCGCAACAGCGCCTCTCCCGTTGCCGAAGCGCTTCTCCCAGCAACCCGCTGCCATGTCCACGGGTCTTGCCATGTGCCCTTATTTCTCGGCATCTTGCATGATTTGAAAGGGCCTGGCAGTCCCCCGGACCTGAGGGGGTGTGCTGCATGCCGTCGCTTCCATCCCGCGTTTGTCGTCCCACCATCAGCTTCTCCCAGAACTTGGACACTTTCCACTACCCTTTTCCACACGACCACCACCACCAACCAGGCAGCCCATCCTATCCTATCCTTCTCCGCATCTCCTTCGCCGCCGGTAGCTGTTCCTGAATAAAAATCCACGATCCTCTTTTGCACCTGGAGCGCCCGCGTCGTTCCGTTATAGCAAACCGTGTACAAACCACTGGTCAGTACTCCGGGTTTTTTGCAAAAGTATCACGGGAACATCCGTCTGGGCGGGGAAAATAGTATGGTGGCAAGCGACGGAGCTGGCCCCGGGCCTTCAACCGTGGCAGTCGAACGGGAAGCTGCACCACCGGCTAGCGGCATCACAGGCCTGACAGGAGGAGAAGGAGAAGAAGAAGGAGGAAGAGGAGGAAGAGGAGGAGGAGGAGGAGGAGGCAGTAGTACCGGAACGAAGAAATGGGCGACCGAGGAGGACTTCAACAAGCACAGGGAAATAATCACCCAGCTGTACCATCGTGAAACCCTATCGCAGCTGATGCAGACGATGGAGGTTCGATATGGCTTCCTTGCCACGTAAGTCGGCCACTCGCGCAGGGGATGGGGGTTTGCTGACGAGCAAAACCAAAACCCGCAGGAACAAAATGTACAGAGCACGATTTAAACGATGGGGCCTCGGGAAACGTAAGAGATCGGACAGCGTTTTGGCTAACAGGCCAAGGAAGCCGAAGCTGAAGCAACCCTTGCCGATGCCGATGCCGATGCGGCCCGTAGCAGGAGACGCCAGTCAGCATGCCCAACCCGAACCCGAACCCGAACTTCAGGAAGATGATGTCGAGGAGATTATTCCATCGCACCATCATGAACAGCATGCTGTCCCTTATGTACAGCGACGGAGAGGTTTATTGCTAGTAAACGGCAAATGGATCGATTTGTCGCTCATGACGGACGACGAACGACGGTACCTCCTCCGACAACATAAATCCCGAAAGCAAACCGCCAGCTCCCCCCCATCCACCTCCACCGCCTTGTCCCTCTCCCGATCACCCTCCCCTCGAAACCTCCAGGCACCCGACACCCTCCAGTCAACCGAGAACATGTACCGCGCCGTGAGGGATTACTTCACGGCATCCTTCACCTCCAACCGCTGGTCCTTCCTCGAAGACACCACCTCCCCAGACCAAGCCCGCAACGACAAAGCCGTGATGGCAACCCACACCGGCGTCCGCCGCGGCTTCGAGATCTGGCGCCGGCTAATGACCGCCGTCCGTCTGTTCCACGACACCTCCCACCCCGACAACCGCGCCCAGTCAATAAAAGTAATCCGCATCACCTTCGCCGAGCTCACCTCCACCCTCTCCAGCGGTCGAGAATCCCCCCTCCTCTTCTTCTGGGTAATGCACGCTCTCACCCTCTTCCGCTCCATACCCGACCCAAGCTTCCAACGGCTGGAAACCTACCTCCTCAAACACCTCTTCGAACTGACCGAAACCGTCCGCCTCCAAAACGGCGCCATCCCCCACCCCACTGCCCAGCTCTGGAAAGTCCTCTACTCCAACGGGAAATCCCTCCTGTTTTCGCCCCCCTCCTCACCATCACCAGACAACGATGACAAGTCCCCCCTAATCAACCACACCCACCTCTCCTCCCTCATCTCCCTCGCCGTCTCCCTTTTTTCCTCCCACTACTCCCCCCTCCACAAAAGAACAATAGAACTGTCCAACCTCTCCATCTTCACCTCCCTCCCCCCCCACCATCCCTCCTCCTCCACCCTCCTCACCCCCAAATTCCACTCCCTTTTTACTCGGGTAACCTCCTCCCTCCCTGACGTGTTCGACGGCAGGGAAATGGACGTCCGCGCCTGGCTGGCATCCCATTACTTCACCCTAGGCGATCTAACCTCCGCCTCCTCCCTCCTCGAGCCCATCCTCCTCGATCCGATAAAACTAAAAGAGGTCAACAAAGTCCAGGAGGCCTCCGAGTCGTTCAATCTCTTGTACGGCTCCATAAAGATGGCCATGGGGGATGTACGAGCCGCCGAGGGGATCCTCCGACAGGTGATAAAACGTGGCCGCATAAGCTGGAAAGAGCACGGGGAGGACGTCCACCTTTCTGATGGGCTCCTCGCGCTTGATCAATGCCTCAGGGTGCAGGGACGGACAAAGGAGGCGGATGAGGTGATAAAGGAGCATAGGCAACTGCTGAGGGAAGCGTTGATGAGGCGGGGGGAGGAGGATACTTGACCCCCTTTAGAAAAAAAAAAGCATTTGCATACGCTCTCATGTTTAGCATGGCGTTGGTTGGTAGGTTGGGTACTATTTTCTCGCTTTCGGGAACGAACGACCCCCCCAAAGTCTTCATCTAGAATTTATACACTTTTAGCAGCAGCAATGCCTTGCCTCTTTTCCAAAACCTGCACATCGAGCCGCCTCACCGTCTTGTGGTGTATTTTTGGGTATCAATCATCATCCGCTGATCAGAACTCCCGTAGACTCCAAACACCAATAACACACCCAGCATGACAACATCTCTTTCTATCCCTCGGGCTTCTCATCTTCTGCTGTGTCTTTCTTCTGCTCCTGGTCCTGTGCTGCTGCACCTTCTTCCTCATCCTTGATAGCGCCCTCCTGCTTCTCGTCCGGCGCATCGGTCTGTTGTGGTGGACCTTCCGTCTCACCCGACGCGCTGCCCTGCTGTTGACCCTGCACCTCCGCCGCAGGCACAAGACTACCATCTCGCCTCCAAGGAGGCAACTCGTTCCTTCCTACATATCCACTTCTTGTCCGCCCTGTCGTGGCACTACTGGGGTCTTGCCACGGATGGGTCCTGTCTCTTACGAAACGCCGGCCCCTGAGCCTGTTGAAGAATGCTTGAGGCACCACTCTCCCCAGATGCGCATACCCCGATGGCCCACCGCCGGCGGAATACGTGACGTGGTAGGGATCCTGAGCCACAGGCTGCTTGGGATGGGCATGACCGTAGGGCTGCGGCACGGCACGGTACACAGCAGCAGTGTGTGTCACGGCAGGGCGCTTTGCACTCGGCGAGCCTGGCTTATCGGCTTCGTCAGGGACAACTCTCTTTTGAGGTGTTGTCAGTTGTTCTTTGGCCTGTTTGGGTATTGATTCTTTGGGCTTTCCAGGCGCGGGTTCTTTCGGCGTTTCAGGCACAGGTTCTTTGGGCTTTTCAGATGGCTTTGGCCGAATAGACAACGTGAACTGAGGCCCAGGAGGGAAAGGCTGGTCCAGTGTCGGCTGGCCGTGTCCAATACCCGGAGGAGACGCCTAGCCCGACCTCGGCGCAGACCTCTAGTTCATCCCAGCGCCTCCTCGCCGGTTGCCCCTGTGTCGGTTATCGTGATATGGATGCCTACCGCCTCTGTTGTGGTAGCCGTAGTCGTGTCGATTGTTGTGGTGGCCACCGTGGTGCCCGTGATGGCTGCCCCGTCCGCCACCCGCGTTATGCCGAGGGTCAGTTGGTGGGACCTTGATCTCTTCTTCCACCTCCACCTCGTACTCCTCGTATTCGTCGTTGAAATATGTCGCAGCCAGATTTCGTTCCTGGCGGGCAGCTCCCGCGTCAAACACGAAGCGCAGGGTGCCTTCGCTGTTCGCCCTCTTGCGCTTAACTGAGGTCCCCCCGGTCCCGGACATGTTAGTTGCTGGCGAGGTTACGGACCCCGGCGTGACAGAACGGTTGTCAGGTTGATCGGTGCACTTTTTGCACATGGCGTTGTATCGCTGAAAGCCTTCGGCTGTCATTCTCTTGTTGATCTCGATCTTGACATCCATCAGGTGCTGAAGCTCGTAGTTGAGTCCGACCTTGGTGGAACGTGGGTGGGTGGTGTACAGATCCATAAGATCCAACATCGTCTCATACACACACGCTTCTTGCGTACGCGATGCCACCTTCGTTTTGAACCTCGGCGGCTCCAACCTTTGTGCCATCAACATGGCCGTGAGTCTCACAATAGACAACACCATGGTGAGGGCTGTCTGCTTGATGGGCACGAAGGTCTTGTAAATGTCAATGGACATGTCGTAGGCCGTATGTAGTAGTTTTTCCGATGAAGTGAGCGTGCTCCATTCTCCCCGTGGAAACTTCATGTTGCGCTCCCCTTCCGGTACCAGCTTCTTGGCCATCTTGATCAACAACTTCTGCGGGTATGGCGCTCGAAAGTCGAAGCCGATGGTTTCGAGAATGTGGCGTTCAAGTCCTATCGTGAACTTGGAGGGGGCGTCAAATTGCTGCGTTGGCTGTCAGGACAGATTTCAGAAAGTGGATGGACGAAGAACATCCTTACCTTGTCATCGGGTGTCTTCTTGTCGTGGGGTGACCGTAGGTTATGGGCAGCGCAGAGAATATCTCGTGACTTTTTGATGGTATCCTCAGACTTGCAGGCCACAAACAAAGCGGCAAGTGCAACATCTTCATAGTTGTATTCGCTACTTGGAAACCTGATCCGAAATCGGTGGTAGTATATCGCTGCGGTATCGAATGTCTTGATGGGTCTAGCAGCGCGTCAGCGTCTTGAACTTGGTCACGGAAAGCAATGGTGGCCGTACAATTGCAGTGCCTCGCGGACGTTGTCAATCAATTGGACGCCTCTTATCCTATAATGGTCGTCCTTTGCCTCTTCGTACGCTATGGCCTTGAGCCTCTGTTGTAGTGTCTGCTCCGAGATGTACTGGGTGGCCATCCCAGACAGGCCGGTGACAGGTCCTATCGGGACATCGTCGGCGGGGGCGGCGGACTGTCCGTTAGTGGCCGGAGCCGTCGGGTTCGCCGCGGATGGTGCCATCGGGGCCGTGATACCGTCGTCATGCGGGGGCGGAGAGGCGGTCGAGGTTCAAGGTCGAGGTGAGGAGCCACGCAGAGAAAGGTTTGTCTGGAAGGGGATTTGCACAGGCTCCGGGACAAGAGGAGGCTGCCTTTGGTCACGTATGGCAGTTGCGACAGATTTTGACGATGGAATGGCCTTTGGACAATGGCCTTGTAGGAGCTTGCGGTTGAAGCCAGATGCAACAATTGCGGCGACGACGTGCTCGATAAGATAAGCTTTTGTCGCGTGGTGACGCGCTCCAGCCCCACTTCTTGATCGCCCACCCACCACGACCACCTGCACGAAGGGATTCTCCACTACAACAACTTTATGCTCGATACCCAGCTGTTCTGATTTTCGATTGACACTGCTCGTCCCCTAAACATCCCCCGCACCCCCGCTGTCACTCAGGGAGCTAGCTACCTGACCAAGTTAGCCATGTTCTAGAACATGTCACGCTGACCATGGCCAGATTGCAAACCCGACAAGCCCAACAACTCCCACGATATCACAATGCGATCCAACGGCACAGGCGGTTATCCGTATGCTCAAGTCAGAATCACAATTAATCCAGCCGCATTACCTCCACAGCCACAGCCACCATCAACCCTTGCCTGGGCTTCACTTTGGGCCCCAAAAAAACCCCTGTCTTGGCATAATCCTTCGCAGAGCCAACACACACCACCCGCCAAGTACACACGGATGAGAGCGAGCGCGAGAGAGCTTCTTCTTTGTTCTTCTTCTTCTTCTTCTTCTTCTTCCCAACGTATTCGTGCCACCTGTTCCACACTGCATGAAACAGAATGCCAGCCGAGTCTGTCAGAAGCAAAGCCAGTGGTGGATCTGCAGGGAGGCGTTGTCAATTATTATCGTTTTATTTGAGTAGCCCCTATTTGGACCCTGATATCATCCCTTTCTGGCATTAACGCAGGGCGTGTTGTCCGAGCTGGGCGTGTTGTCCGAGCTGAACCCTTATATGGTCGCTTTTCATCACGCAAAAGTTCTAAGCATGGCCGCATCACCCTATATATCAATGCCGTCTCTCCCATACCACTTCCCTTTGGTTCCTATTTTTTTTCTTTGTTTTGGGCTTGACTTTGCATTTTCATAAACCGTCCACCAACTATCTATTCGCTCTTTATTTATACCTTACCAGTAATATCAACACCATCATCATCACCAACATGGACACCAAGGACGAAGACTCAGCCCAACAACAATCATCACCACTCCTCCCCATATCAAACCACCCACCATCATCCAGACCCAGAACCCCAATCCTCCTCAAACTAGAAACAAACCTCCCCCTCGTCACACCAGCTCAACCCCCCGAGACGACCCCCCAAGAAACCTGGGACTACCCAACCTCCCTCCGCCAACTCACCGCCCTCCTCCTCTTCACCCTCCAACTCCTCATCCTCATAACTTACCACCCCAGCTTCCTCTCCCTCCTCCCCATCCCCGGCCCCCTATCCAACCACCACTGCCTCCTACTAGCCGACACGATCATCACCTGTCTGGCAATCATAATATCGAGTTATGTCCACTTTTGCATCGCCAGCCTGGACTGTGAGCTACTAGAACAGGGTTGGAAGCCCGTATACTTTTACATCATGGCCGCGGACGAGACGGTGATTTTGCTGGCGGCGGCGAGCTCAGGATTGGAGAATGTTTGCTCGTGGGGGTTGTTTGTTGTGACGGTGGGGAGTTGGTATGTGGGTTGGAGGTTGGGGGCCGTGGAGGTGTTGAGTAGGAGGTTGTTTAGGGCCGAGGGTTGGGAGTTTGGGCAGGGGGAGGGGGAGGAGGGGAGGGGTTTGCGGGTGGTGTAGGGGTATTGTCTATGCTTTCAGGATTACGTCCTTGGAGAGGAATAATATTCATTTCGTTTTATCGTGAGCTGGCAATGGACTTCTGGGCTTGGGGAGGATAATTACAAAGGAACAAGACGAAGCGACTGGCCGGCAATGAAAACTTGGTGTTCTTGGGATTCAATGCCCTCACCCTTTACCTTCGCAATGCTCTTACATACCAAACGCGAAGAGGAGGCCATTGTATCCAAAAAAAAATAAAAAATCTAGCAGCCGTCCTGTCTTGCCAACCAGCTGCTTCATCTCGATGCTTTGCCGGTTCCTCACCATACCCCCTTCAGTATCATCTCCCTAAACACCCCCCGCCCCCGGCCCCTAAAACCCGCCCGTCCCCTTAACCCTCCTAACAGCCCCAACAACGCCCCTAACCCACCCCATCCCCCCTCCCCCAGCCCCAGGCCCAATCGCCCCCTCCGCCTCTTTCCCCTCCTGATCCCTCCAAACCCCCTCCTCCCCATCCAACCGCCCATACACCCCCGTATTCTGATTCCTCCCCAACCCCCTCACCCACTCCCCACAAACCTCCCTACTATCAACCAAAACATTAACCTCACAACTATGAAACCAACTCTGCGTATCCTGATTCCCATTCCCCATCACGCCCACCTCCCCATCAACAACCATGATCTTGACGTGACACGACCTCCCCCTCCTGCTCTGCACAATCGGCACGGTCTGATCCCTCCCCACATACCACCCATACCTCAACCTCTCCCTCCCACCCTCTGACAAAGAGCCATACAGCTCCTTTGCAATCTTTTCGTTGTGACCCCCTTGATGGGGCAGGAGCTCACCCGCGTCGTTGTACCCCAGACATATCCAACACGTCACCTCCACCCCGCGCTCGCAGGCCTCGATGATGGCCGGGATGAGCGGTTCCGCGTTGAGGGTGGGGGATTGGATAAAGACTGTCTTTTTAGCGTGTTTGAGCGCGGAGAGCCAGGCGGCGTTTTGGGGATTGGGGAGGGAGTGGTGGGTTGGGGGCCCGTAAGGGGAGCGGGTGACTAGTGCTATGGGAAAGGGAGAGGTGGAATGCGGGATGTAAGGCGTGAAGCGGTCAGGCTCGGGAGGATCAGGGTTGAGGGTTGGGTTAGGGCGGAGGGAAGGATTGGTGGTGTGGTTGAGCAGGGCGTTGACCGCGTCGAGGTGGGTTTTGTTCGTGGTCGGGGTGAGGAAGGTGTTGAAGCGGGCGACTTCGGAGGCGACATCCGGATCGTAGTGAGGGCGGGACGGAGTGTGGAGGCTGTTGTCGAGAGGTAGGGTGTTGACATCTGGCAAAACAGCGCGGCCGTTTGCTACTGCTGCCATGCTTCCATCGGCTTGTTCAATCTCTTCTTGAACTTCACTGAAGCCATCCCAGGGCTTGCCCCAGGAGAGCAGGGCGACATCGACAAAAGAATCAACAACGGGGCCCTCCAGGTGGATCATCATCTCCAGGTTGTCGTTGTCCTGGACATTGTTGCTCTGGAGCAGCGCAATCTTGCGGTCGACAACCACGTACTTAGCGTGGAAGGTACCCATGACTGGCTGGTGGTAGTTGACCACGTCCATCTCGAGATTCGGGATCTCTGATCGTCGAGGCAAGTTGACGTTTGGTCCGGCAAAGTCCTTCTCCGATACGAAATAACGTGGCTCAAACACTTGTTTTGGGCTGCCTCGGTCGTATATGATCTTGACCTTTACCCTTAGGCCACCCCTGGCAGCTACACGGCGGTCTAGCTCACGGATAGCTTCCGTGATGTAGGCAGATGCTGCACCATTTTGCCAGTAGTTTGTTGCCAGAAAGACCTCTGTTTGGGCTCGCACGATGACGTTGGCAATGTGCCGACATATGTCGGGTATGCTATTCTCTTTCAGCACTCAATCGATTCTCCGGACTGGTGAGACGTACGTCGAAATGATAGTTAGCGGAATGGTCCCGTGGGACCCCATCAGCGAAGGACTGACTATTCCCCGAGAGGGACCGTCGTTGAGCGTGCACAGTGCATCATGATAGATCTGCCATGTGTTTAGCTGTGCCTGCATTTCCGCTGCCATTGAAGAACTTTACCCTCAAAAAGAGCTCACTCGGCTTCGTGTCTCCCCATCTCCCACACATCTCGGCCTTCTTCAGCTCCAACAGATCCCCGTCTATTGCTCCATTTGCATGCTCTTTCTCGTTTTCTGCACTCGCCAGCGCGGTTCTGCCATACAACTTTTCCCATGCGTCCGCAGGACTTATTGTAGGGTCTTGAGAAATGAGGGATGAGACGCTTTGAGTTGAGGTGCACAAGTCCAACAGGCGGTCGTTGATGTGGTTGTTTTCGAGGCTGATCTGGTGTTTCTTCATGTTGATGGCTTTTCAGGGGTTTCAGGGGCTGATCAACCACTGAACGGGACAGTCTTTTAAGATAACGATTACCCTCACAATATTACAATGTATGTGGCGACAAATCGTTGGAGCGAAGGAAAAAATCTGGGATTATTGTCCAGAAAGCCAAAATGAAGATAGAAACACCTAACCCGAGCTCACGCGTGGTTCATGACGACAGGTCTTGTCATGAACCGTCCCAACCGTCCACTAAACCGACGCCGAGACACAGCGCTGCAGGTCCGCCAGGGACCCAAAATCAAGGGCAGGCGGGGGTGATCACAAGCTTGCGTGGCTTGCCAAGAGGAGGGCTGAGGCTGGCACCTTGATGTCTGGAAATGACGTCAGCTGCTGTCGTCGATGTGTTGTTGACCGGAGCGCCGGGATGCGGCCGGAATGCATCTGGCAGCTTGCCTCAGGAATTCCAGTTGAGATTCATGTATCTCTCCAGAAGCCAGAAATCATCGACTGATGGTTGTGGGACAGATGCCAGTGACAATCCCTCCATTGTTCCTTATCGCTAGCTTGCGCGCTGTTGATTTAGTGGAAGGTTGATTTAGTGGAGGTTGATTTAGTGGAGGTGGATTTATGTGGAGGTTTGATTTAGTGAAGGTTGATTTAGCGGAGGAGACGCAAATCATCTCCAACTTGATGTCCAAAGGGACCTCCTCATGAACCTGGAAGCTTCACCGTTTATTTACTTTGGGAAAAAGGTTAGTCAACATGGCTGGCTAATGACACAGGGAGGGTGTCGTGACAGGCAAGGGAAGTTGTGATTGGTCGGTTCCCCTGCTGACCAACCCGAGCTTCCAGGTACCCATCGCACCCAGTAAAGGCGACAGCTGAATGCATCCATCCTCCAACACCAACCTCCTGTTTACATCCCTATTGTTGAACATTGAATCGAATACACATCACCATGAAGGCTTCATTACTCGCGCTGCTGCTCCCCGCAGTCAGCGCCCGCAACGTCAACCTCGCTGGCGATACACAGCGGCCCATGACCCATGAAGAGGCCGCCGCTGCAACTTATCACATCGAGATCTCCCCTGGCAACACACGATGGGTGACAGAAGACGAGAAATGGGCCCTGCGCCGTGTAAGCCAATTCTTTCGTCCCAATTCGCTCAAGCTGTTACTGATGTTGACTTCTCTCAACAGAAAGGTATCAACTTCTTCGATATTACCGATCACCCTGACCTCGGCGCCACCATCAACACCCTCGTCGGACCACCCAAGAAAAAGGCTGTCTTCCCAAAGAAGCCCACATACCAAGACGCGGTGAAACCATTGTTCACCAACCTCTCGAAATCCCACCTCGAAGAGAACTTGGAAAAGTTCACATCGTTCCACACCCGATACTACAAGTCAGATTGGGGCCGCCAATCGAGCGAGTGGCTGCTTGGGAAAGTTCAAGAGACGATCAAGGAGGCCGGCGCTGAGAAGTATGTGACGGCGAAGCACTTCAAGCACCCGTGGGGCCAGAACAGCATCATTGCCACCATTCCTGGCAAGACTAACCAGACAGTTGTTATCGGTGCCCACCAGGATTCCATCAACCTCTTCCTCCCCAGTATCCTGGCGGCTCCCGGGGCGGATGATGATGGAAGCGGCACCGTGACCATTCTTGAGGCCCTTCGGGTCATCCTCCAGTCCAAAGACATCGTCAAGGGCAAGCACCCCAACACGCTCGAGTTCCATTGGTACAGCGCCGAGGAGGGCGGTCTGCTCGGCAGCCAGGCCATCTTTTCTGCTTACGAAAAGGAGCGCCGCGATGTCAAGGCCATGCTTCAGCAGGACATGACTGGTTTCATCACTAGGACTATCCAAGCGGGCTTGCCTGAGAGCGTGGGCGTTATTGTCGACTTTGTTGACCCCAAACTTACCGAATTTATCAAGAAGATTATCACCGAGGTATGTTTTTTTTTTTTACTTTTTATTTTTTATTATTTTTTGTTTAATAATTTTGATCTATTGACTGGTCAATACTGACAATATAATAGTACTGTGACATTCCATTTGTTGAGACCAAGTGCGGTTATGCTTGCTCGGACCACGCTTCTGCCTCCAAGGCTGGGTACCCGTCTGCCTTTGTTATCGAGTCGGCATTTGAGTACTCGGACAATCACATCCACACTACTGATGATCTGATTAAGTACTTGTCATTCGACCACATGATTCAGCACGCAAAGCTCACGCTGGCGTTTGCGTACGAGTTGGCGTTTGCCGACTTTCCTGCTCTTGAGAAGGGCAAATAAATGAGGGGCCGAGGCTGTGAGGTTATGTTCGGGTATTGGGCGTCAAGGGTAGGGTACATACGGGAAGGCATAGTGACATTGTTTTTTTCTTTTACAGTCTTTGAGCGGTAGTGTTTAAATACATGGTTAACCACATTCCCCTGAATCGGGCCTTCACTGGGCCTCCACAGAAGCGCTCGAAACCCGATGCCAAGACGTATGATGAGCTGTCGGTCTCCACCATGACCTGCGCCAAACGACTCAACGACATGCCCTCCACTGTTTGGGGAGAGGTAGTCATAAACCTCGGGTGTCAATCCCCTCAGTTTTGCTACCCCGCATTTCTTTTTTTTTACCCTTCATTTTGTTACCTTTTTTCTGTTTTTTTGTTTTGTTTTTTTTGGTCGTTTACCACAAACGCCACACACCAGACGACAAGACACAATCAGCAAAACAACAATGGACGACACAGCATCCGTCTATGAAACCGCCATCATGGGCGGGTCCTCGGACTATGACGAGGAGGAAGAGCCGGTTGTCGTCCCCACGCCGTCAAACTCGTTCTACACGCCCCTGCCGTCCCAACCTCTGCCTTCTGAGCTCCTGTCCAAAGTAGTCCCCGAGGAGTCGTCACAGCCGGAAGGGGAACCGAGAGAAGACTTGGGGTTGGACAACCCCTCGCCCATGAGCCTGGCCTCGCCGAGGGACATGATACCCCGGGGGAACTACACGCGCAACCCGGCCGGCACGCTCACCTTCATCGGCCTCCGGGCTATCGAACCACTCCTGCAGTCATACTTACTGTCGCCCAAAAGCCCGCTGTTGAAACTGCTGCCTAAGCTCGGGGTCGCGGTCATCAACCCTGGGTTGTTGGGGCAGACGCCTACAGGGGAGATTTTATCCTGGATGGGGAGGCTGAGCAGACTCAAACAGGCGTACTGGGCGGGGTTTATCGCTCGGGAGCCCATGACGCCGAGGATGGCGGTTTTTGTCGCGCTGCTGGAGACGGCGGCGAACGCGGTGAATAGTCTGTTGTATCTGTTGCCCAAGACGAGCACGGCTCTGCTGAAGGGGGTGAGGGTGCCGTTGTTGGGGGAGGCCGAGCTGCCGTTGCCGGTGTTGGTGGGGAGCCTGATGTTTGCGGTTGGGTTGGCGGTCGAGACGATTTCGGAGAGGCAGAGGAGCTTTTTTAAGGAGGAGAGGATTGCTGTCGGGGGGAAGCAGATTAGAGTCAATGAGGGGAAGATTTGTGATAGAGGGTTGTGGAGTCTGAGTAGGCATCCGAATTATGGGGGTTACGTCCTCTGGAGGACGGGTTTCGGGATCGCGGCGGGGGGTTGGTGGGCTGGGCTGGGGATGGGGTTGGCGCATGCTGGTCACTTTGCGGGGGAGAGTGTGGGATTGATGGATGAGTATATGAGCAACCGGTATGGGGGGGCTTGGACGCAGCATAAGCAGAGGGTTGGGTGGGTTTTGATCCCGGGGATTTATTAGAGGACAGGAAGGGAAATAAATGGATGAGACGAAGGACATGAGATGAGAAATGATAAAGGAGGTATGTGGACGAGAACGATGTATTCTGACACTATCCAAAACATATACTCAAAAAGCACCACCTCGGTAGCCACTATCCAGTCCATCCTGCAACGCCGCAAATGCTTTGCCACCCACCCAATGCCGCTCGCTTTACACAGACAAAAGGAAACTACATACTATCCTCCATCTGCCTGCTCCTCGTCTTGGCCCAATCATCCCTCTCCTTCTTCCCCCCCTGACTCTCCAACCCCATCCCCCTCTCCACCCACATCTTGCTCCCCATCTCCGTCAACCTTGACAGCGCCCTCGCAAAAGCAAAAGCCTCCTCATCGCCCGTAAACAGATTCGACTTTGACAGCTGCTCGGCGTTGTGCTCCAGGTCATCCATCATGTGACTCATCACGTCCTCCACCGAACTATCATCCAGCACCTCGCTGCTTCTGCCTGCCGCCTTCAGCGACTCCCGAATCTCCGCTTTGGAGACAAACAGCTCCCTCAACGGCGCAGCAGTGGTGAGCACCAACTTCGCATGTGACTCGTACACGGCATCAATAAAAGTGATAAACCTCCTCGCAAGATCCCGCTGCCGATATGTCATCCCGGGAACCTCCGTAACGATGAACGCGTCATACGAGCGCATGAGCTCGATGTAATCCGCCGCGCTGGTCGGCTTGCCAATCAACTCATCAAACGTAAACCACGCACACCTCCCGCTCACCCTCGGCACGATAATCTCCCTCCCCCAAACCTTCTGCACCTCAGGATGCGGCTCCGGCGACTCGGGATCACCCAAAAACCGAAACCACTTCTCGGCGTGAGAAGCAGCATGAGCGTCGAGCGGGGTGTGGTACACCCCCGACGGTGGCCTCGGAATCTTGCGGTAATCCGTCGTCGAGTCCAAATTGATAACATGCAGCCTGTTTTTCAGCAGATGAATCGCCGGTATGAAACTCTCGCGCTGGATCCCATTCATGTACAGCTCATCCGGATGCCTGTTGCTCGTCGTGACCAGCACCACCCCATGCGACATCAACGCCTCCAGCAGCCTCCTCAAAATCATGGCGTCCGCCACATCGGTGCACTGAAACTCGTCAAAACACAAGACATTCCCCTGCTCTGCAATCTCGGCCGCGACAAACGGGACGCAGTCGACATCACTGCCATACTGCATCTTCATCTTGTGAAGCCGCTTGTGGACATCCTGCATGAAATTGTGGAAGTGTATCCTCGTCTTGGACTTGACCGACTGCGGGAGCGTGTCGTAGAACAGATCCATCATCATTGTCTTTCCGCACCCGACGTCGCCGTAGAGGTATAACCCCCTTGGCAAGTTGCTAGGAATCTTCCCAATCGTCGGCTTGGTGTCCTTGCCAAACCAAGAAAATAAACTCTTTTGCGGCTTTAGGCTCTCAAGTGTGGGTCGGACGACAGGTGGCGCGGTGTAGTGTCGCAGTTCCTCGTGGAGATGCTGTAGGCTTTGGATGATTCCTGCACACAAACCACAGTTAGCCACCCATCTCTTCCCCTTCTTGTCGTTACGATCACTCACCTCGTTGATGCTCGTCATTCCTCAACAACCCCTCCTCCACTCTTCTATCATACTCCTCCGCAGGCCCAACATCCTTCTCATTCCTCACCTCCTTCACCTCCCCATGTTCTTTTAGGGATATCCCCTCCTCGACCGGCACCCCCCCATCCTCAAAAGTAGTAGCAGCAGTCGCAACAGCAGACGCCTTCCGCCTCCTTTGCCCAGCACTGAAAACAGCCGGGTAGGCCACCCTCCCCCCAGGTCGCAAACATGACAGCTCGGTCGGCTTGTTCGCAGGTCGGAGGGTTCGAGCGTTGGTAGAAAGCGTTCGTCGCGACGTTGCTCCTCCCGTCCGAACTACTACCGGTCGTGATAGTGACGTCGTCGTCAGGGCCCTCTTGCAAGGAACACCTGCCACAAGCGGCGCGCGCATATTGTGCTATCCGATTTCGAGACCTGTTTCAAATATAGTAGATCGTGTCAGGGCGTGGGAGGCATCGTATGACTGCTCGCCCTATCTGTAACTCTGGCAGGTTTGCCACCGAGAGCGAACCGAGCCAAGGTTTGCGACGAGGAGCAAGGCGGGAACGGGTGTGTGGGGTTGTGGATGGTGCGCGAGACAATCTATTGCTAAAAGTGTGTCTTTCCGTGAATATTTAATCAAGTATGCGCCGTCCGCGTAGGCTTTTGAAACGTCGTGTCTGTCAAAAGAATCGATTCGAGCGTGTGGCCGAGCGTTGAAGGAAATGCGACACTCAGCAGCCAAAATTGAGGGGCTGAACATATCCAGCCCCAGCAGCCCAGCAGGGCCGGTTGTATTCGGCGATCGCTAGCTACCCGGTGCCCGCCCTGCCGCCGCGGCATTGTCATCCGGCCGGATCAGTCGGGCACGTGGACAAGTCGTTAAACCCAAGGCAGTGCGATCAGTGCAATCAAAAGCAATTGACAAATAGATCTCAGTCCAAATCATTCTAGCTTAAGGTACCCAGGAAATACACTCAAATCCGTCTCGAAGGCGCGCGATCTGATCCCGAGGGCGTGGGTTTGGTTCCGTTTGTCCGGTGCTGGTGCTCTCCGAAAACTGGTGAAGTGCGAGGGGTGCATAGACGTCCCTTTTGCCGTTCTCTATGCACCAGACAGAAATCTATATTACATACATATCTTCTTTTACCTTGGCCAATATTTCCAATAAACTAGCAGCCGTTCAACATCGTCGGCGCTGATGTCCTCCCCATGCGGGGTCGCCATCGGGATGGTGGGGCCGCCTCCCGGGATGATGCAAGCGGGCCGCAGGCTTGGCACATCAACACCACGGAGACAACGCTCTCCCCTTTCACATTATTTTTAACATTGAATATTAACATTCTCTGCAACTCACTCTTGTTTACCTTCTGCTGCTCGACCAAATCATATTCCCGCCTTCCTCAAACGGTGTTTTCTTTGGGCTGCTCCCTTTTCACTCTTCACATCACACATCACACACAAGCTGACGTCAGTCCAGGCATTAAAAAACACTCGGGGATAAATCTGCCCCCGACAACGCTGATTCAGTCTTCAAGTTACGGCTTCTATGGCAGGGACTTTGACTACGCTGTACCATGCACAATTACGTCGAGATGCACTTTGCCCAGTTACAAACAACCTCCCACGCCTCAGATATTCCCCATGCCCAAGGCACAGAGTTCATCACCACCAAACCCCCCACATCAAACCCCCCAACCTCCCCAAACTCGAACCTGATACCCAGACCAACAAATCCCATTATACAGAAACCTCCAGCGCTATCCTTTGCAAATCCACAATCCCAAGGGCTCCACACCTTCTGATCCCGTCTGTGACCAAACAGCTACACATCCTGAACGGCCCTGTGGGTTTGTGCCTCCCGCCAAATCCATCACATCTCCAAGCCTCTCTACACACACCAAACCCACCCCCTCAAAAAAGTCAATTCACACAAGAGTGACCTCCGCATCCCTCCCCGACTCCCAATCCTCATACGCCCTAGCAACATGCCCGCAGCAAAACTCGATCAAGCCCTTGACATGACAAGTCCCATGAGAAAACTCCCAATCCATCAGCTCCGGGACCTGTTCAAAAAGAGACCACTCATCCAACGGGAAATCCTCTCCGTCAAGCATGATGCGCGAATAGGCCCTCGCAACGGCGTATTGAAGGGGAAGATCCATGTAGTAGCTCGCGCCCTCGTCGATGAACTCGTCCTCTGTCATCTCGACGGGCAAGTCGTCCATCTCCGAGGCCTTTTCCCAGCAGTAGTCGTGAATGTTGACCCAGGCGTACTAGGCCAGAGTGCCCTTTTCTGGCTCTCCCAGGGTGTGTTCCTTCTTTTCTTCCTCGTGTCCATCCGCGAGGGCAAAAAACACGGCGTCGTCCGTGGACGTGGGGCTGGGCGAGCTGTGAGGGGACGTCGTCGAACTGGGTGAACTGTCCGAGGTCATCGAGGCGGCTGAATCGATGGGTGAATCATGACCGGTTCCTTTCAAGCCAGCGCTGCCAGAGGAAAGGTCCGCACTGCCAGAGGGAAAGTTCGCACCGCCAGAGAGAAGCAGCTTGGAAGTACTGTGGCACTCCTCATGCGTGGCGAAATCCAAGGGCGGATGTGCCTCGAGGCGGGCGGCGCCGGCCTTTTCAAGGAATAGATGGCCGAGGGCTTGCATATGGTCGTCGTGGGCCTGGTCCGTGGCGGAAGTGAAAGTGGTGATGGCGAAGTTGAGGAGGAAGTCGTCAGTGGAGACATCGATGGGCTCGTGCTTGGGGTTGACCATCATGACGGACGTCTCGATGAGCCCCTCTTTGACGTTGACCGTCGTGGCGGCCATGTCGACGAGATTGTAGCTAGAACCTCCCATCATGGAGGCCATGTTTCTTTCGACTCTTTGATGTTGTTTTGGTGAAAAAGAGTCGAAAGGTGTGGGTGGGATAAGGGGTGAAAGGTGAACGGTGAAAGGTCGACGCTAAAAGGTAAAGAGAAAAGAGGAGGGTGAAAGATGAAAGAGGAGGAAGAAAAGGGCGAGGAAGAAATATGAGGGGCCGAGAGTCTCGAGGATGCAAAAAAAAAAACTCTGACCACCAGCTATTATGGCCTGGGGCACGATAAAAAGTGTTGGGTGTATTTACCAACGAAGGCAGGAACGACATCGGTCAGCCCCCAGGCGACTACGTCATTCCATTTGTTGACGAGCAGGGAGCAAGTGAGAGTCGTATGGAGGTCAGGGAGGATCATCCTTTGATGTTTGGATACATCAGACGGCAGCACAAAGTCCACAGACATCTACATAAACAAAGGCCACACATACCCAAATTAGATCTCAGAAAAGTCCTCCCTACCTTAATCAGACATAGTATCACGGCCTTCGTAGAAATGGCTTCCTCCCTCGCCATTTTTACCCATGTCTCTTGGACGACCTAGATGCTCACCAACCCCAACCTGCTACCACAAGATGCCTCAGGTATCTGCCACCATCAAACCATCAAGGTGCCCGCTATTGAACCCGTGACTCAATAATGACAATAGCCCATGACGAAACCTGCTCACGAGGGCAAAAGTATCAGGCAATAATTTTCTTGAGATGGAGTGACCCCTGAGGCCCCAAACAAGCAAGACTGAAGACTCCAAACAGACACCTCTCCAACAACTCCCAAATGTGACTGTCTACGCCTCAGGCCTCGTCCACGCTTTTCTAATGCTCGCTTCCCTCCGGATCTGCCACACCCACGTCGGGGTTGCCATCTGAACAGGCAACCTCAAATAGTGAATGACATCGTCGCTGAAATCTTCAAACACTGAAATCTTCCTTAGGGTGTGGGGGAGAAGTTGCCTAAAATGACTGATGAGGTCTATGGCAACAATATTGGCATATTGAAGTGTGCGATAATTACGGTTGACTAGCGTTGAGGCGAACACATACACCCGTCCCGCCGTCGCATTTCACCGTGCGACCATGGTCGCCAGGGCTCAAGTATCAGGTGTTCCAGACGGCGGAATCGCTCGGCGAATATGTGTTGAGCTCTGGCGCCAACCCCTCCGAGATCTTCTGGTCTCCATAGCTCGCCCGATCGTTGCGATACAGTCCCAAACACAGGGGCCGTTGAATTCCCACCGATATCTTCTTTCGCATGTCTTGCATGTGTACTCTTGTAGTTCGACTTCAAGACAGATGTAACGAACCGGAGAGATCCCCAGCGGAAAGCTCGTTCGCTTTTCTCTGCAAGACGACGAGATCTGCGGACCATCTTTCTGCGCGGGGAAAGAAAAAGTGAATTTTGTGGTCAAGAATTGTCAATGGTACAATTTTATTGCGGAATCAGACTACAAGTGTTTGCAAAGCTTGGTGTTGCGAAAGGAAGGAAACCGAGTTTAAACCAGGCAACTCTTCATTGGCCGCCACAAAGTATTGAGTTCGGCGCACAGCAAAGCCCCCTTTCTTCACAACCTTGAGCTTGGTGAGAAACCAAAACCAACGCTGGATTTTTTGATGGTGGTGGCGCTGGTGGTGGCGCTGGTGGTGGCGTGGTGGTCGTTATTGCGGAGGAGCTTGATAACCCGCTGGAAAAAGCCACAGGCCATGAAGCACAAACGGCGCCCAGTAATACGCCTGTTTAAACTCTGCTCCCAACTCCCCCTTTCTCATTCTCATCACCGTAGACCTCAGAGCACTGGCCAAGTTGACAGCTCCGCCAGTCTGTCTGCTCGCGACCTCCTGATAAAACGCCTCACTGAAAGCTCTCCCCGCCCGACTGTCGATAGGCCACTGACAACCCAGCACAGACGTGGCGCCCGCATAGAGCAGCGCCGGTATAATTCCCAGCGGTTCATCACCGGGTGCAATGTCCTGCGTGCCAGAGTCACAGGCAATGATGGTGAAGTGGACGCCACCTCGGGGGAGTGTGGCTTCGAACAACTCCGAGACGAGGAGCTCGTCTATTCCTTCGCTATTGTCAGCAGCGTCCTCATCATTGTTGTCATCATCGTATTCCGCTTCAACCGTCTCGAGAAGGTCTGCCTCGGCGTCGACTGTCAGATCTCCATCCCTATTTCCGGTATTGTTATCGTGGCTGAGGCTGTCTGTTCCATCGCTGAGCACCAGGGATGACTTTAGGATGTCCTGGTTACTATAGCGAGCATGGCCGTGATAATGAATCCAGTTGGCGGTTGCACACTCCTGGAGAAAGTGAGGCTTTGTCACCTGAGACCCAATGGCGACAGTACCCGGAAACGCTCCGGGGAGTGATTTGATATGGTGAAAGATCTGTTCTCGTTCCAGTAACCTGTCAGGTTCCTCGTACACAGCAAAATACTTGGCGCCGTATGATTGTCGAGGTTGTCCGTCTGTCGGTGGTGCTGGTGATATCCGAAGCAGACACTGACCAAGCGTAGCAACACTGGAGGCGTTCACGACAAGATTCCTCTCAACCAAGGGCTGCTTGCCAACTTCCAGTGCATGCAATGGTATGCTGTTCAAGGGACCAGACGGCGATAGGATCAACAGGTCGCCTTCCGATGTAAACTCAAGCAAGCCTTCAACCAAGCCGTTCATCTTCTTGAGCAGCTGGTTTCCAGTCTTTCTTGCCAGTGGTGGCGTAGCCATCTCGGGATATGTAAGGGTCTTGGCTATCCAATCTTTTACTTGATGAATGTTGAGCGGCAGTTGCTGCGTGTAGGTGGTGCCATCCAGCTGACGTACAAAGAGGCGAATGTTTTGATTTGAAGTGTTGGCCAACGTAGGGACATGCCAATCGACAAACTTGACTCTATCAGCCGCGAGACCTGTTGCTTGCAGAGCTTGTTTCAGCTCATCAGTTCCAAGGTCCAAATCCAACAGCTGGCCTCTGAGCTTAGCGGCCTCGACCAAGAGCGGATGTTCTTCCATCTTCTTTTTCAACGCTGTCAACCGGCGTGAGGCAACAACATGGTTGACGTTGGACTCCTGAAGAAGCTCGAGAATGCTCTGCTCCGCCTTGAGGAGTTCGTAAGCGGTGTGATCTTTGTTGATCTGATCCACGAGCCTCTGAGGGAGGATGCAGTCAGCACCCAGGGCATCGGCAAATGCTCTAGCCTTTCCTTTCTGCAACCAAATCCAGGCGCCAGCTGGGTCGTGCAATTTCAAAGCAAGCTCCACTGCGACACTGTAGAGTTTGAGGCTGGCCTTCTTTGACACAAGAAATCTCTTATGCATGAGACTCTGGAGTCCTGCAACCGACAATACGCTTTGCCTCATGCTGTCACAAAGCCTTTCGGTTTGTCTCATATCCCCCATGAAAGCGGTAAGCAGTCCATGACGTCCATCATCCGACATTGTCAGTACAGCCAAGTTTATGATCTCCCATACAAAGAGGGTGCAGTCAACGACCAGCTCAACCCCGTTCGCTTGCCGGTATAACTGTAGAGCATCGTACGAGTGCTGCAAGGCGGCCCAAAGAAGCTTCACGGCCGACTGGGATTCCTCAAGGGCCAACGCTTTGTCTTGACGAAAGGTACTCTGAACACAAACGAAGGCTTGAATACAAGCGTTCAAAAGTGTCTGCGCCTTCTTGAATGGCGGCACATCTGTAAGCCTCTGTAGCTGTTCCACAAGTTGAGTAGAGAGTGCTAGGCCATCGGAGAATCTTCCTTGACGCATGAGAAGACGCAGCTCCAAATCCACAACCGGAATCCTTGCCAGAGCATCAGCTGAATCAGGGATGTGTTTCTTGACCCGTTCCATCCACCTTTGGCCGTCGCTGTCCCATTCGGCGATGAAGAGACATTTCAATGCCTCGCCATCCGCATGACCGTGCTCAGCATCCTTGTTTGCCCATTCTTTCAGAAAGTCCACAGCAGAGGAGGTCATCTCCATGAACTCTTCCGACCCTTCGGGATGTTCCCTAGCTAAGCTCAACATGTGATGCCCAACCTGAGTTGCTGCATCAGATTGGTCAACGTAGGACGCACATGACATGGAAATCTCCAAAGCCTGCCTTGTAACCCGGACGGCCTTTTCGGTTTCCCCAAACTTGGAATACACCGAGCCCAGAATGACACCCATGTACGAGTGAAACTTGGGGCTGATCTCCTCTGGTACGTTGCAGAAATAGGACTCCAGAGACTGCAAGGCAAATCCGTATTCTGGCGCCTTGAGACTTGCTTGACAGACGGAATGGAGCAGGGATATCTGCTTCAATATCTCGCTGCCACACTCGTTGATCATCCGGTCCAGCAGCTCAAGGGACCTGACGACGTCCTCATAGTAGGTGTCAACGATCATGTCCGGTGAAATGGCTACCGCGAGGCAGCGGATGCCGTTTTGATACTGGTGGACTTCAAAGTAACGATCGGCAATCTTGGTCTTGGCCAGAAACCTTTCGCCCGCTGAGATGGTTTTGTCGGCAGAGATTTGAAGCAGATCAATGTCGATATTACCAAATGTATGGCCACGTTGTGTGAATATATCTTTGGCGAGCTTGAAGTTTTCCGCCGCTTGAGCTAGCACAGCTTCGCTGTCTGACTTCAACTGCAAGCCGGCCAAGTCTACCAGGGTGAAAGCCCTTTCGATGATGAATGCTGGATCTGTCAAGTACTCGAGGAAGTCGCACAGCTCCTCTATCGCCTGGTCGGTATCCTCCAGGAGATGTGCCTTGGAGTAGATGAGAAACCTGGCTTCCCGAAAGCGACCCTCTGATAGGACTTGTCGCAGGACAGGGGCCAGACCGGCCACAGCCGCAGTTTTGGTCTGTTTATCATGAAGCAGTCCCTGCTCGCCGGCAACCACTTGGATCTTCCAGTACCAATGGACCATGAGAACCTGACAGGAGGTTAGATAGGAACAAAGTATCGCAAGCGGGATCGTACCAACTCTGTTTTCTGTTAACGGAGAAGCTTCCCCTTCCGAGTCTTTGATAGTCACGGCTTGCAGCTGTTGGGAAAGCTCGGATTCCTCATCTCGGCCGGTGAGATGCCACGCCTCTCCAATCTCTTGTGCAATCCTCAGCGCCGTCCTGAGCTTCGAGTATCTCCCAATGCCGATGAAAGCCTGCAGAAGGTCAAGAACAGCACGCTCCTCGCCAGAGGCCGATGGTTGATCTTCACATGTTTTTGCGGCCAACGTGTACCGACCCTGAACCAAGTAAAGTTGGGCAATTTCGATTGTAACGCTCGGGAGAGACCGGATCTCTTCGGGCAGGGCCCTGATGAACTCATGGCCTTCTGCGAATGTTCCTCGTGATCGATGACCTCGGATGGTGGCTTTTGTTTCCTCGATATGTTGCTCCATTTAGTTGAGTTATTTTGTTGCATGGAAGAGTGAAGAAATGTAACACAAAATGGTAGTGCGGGGATATCACGGGCACACCTCAGCCGCACCACAACTGAGGCAGCCGCGAACCTCGCACCTTCCTTTTATCTATTGCATATCACCGCACATTATTTTCACTCTGAGCATTCATGCTTCATAACTCATCCCAATCGCCACAACACCCACCTCGACATTAACCCGCCACAAGAGCATCTCGGCCACGACTTTCTCCCAAAAGTACACCCCCGCTTGCCCCTCCCTCAACATGGCCTCTCCAGACTCCTCCCCTCACGACCTCGACCATGACTCCCAAACCCCCGAACAAGAAGAAATCTCCACCTCCCCCTGGGCCATCACCTCCCCCCTTATTCCCGACCCTTCTGTTCCCCCAACCCTCGCGATTACAAACAACTCCCGCATCAACCGCCCCCTAGCGACCCATTCCTCCCTCTCCCCCAGTTCCTACACCGCCTACCTCCGCCACGTCCAATACGGCACCTATCACTCCCTCCCCTCCTGCCTCCTAGCCCTAGACTTCGCCTTCCGCTTCCCCACCAACTCCACCTCCCGCTTCTCCTCGGCAGAAATAACCCTCACCTTCACCCACACCACCTCCCCATCCAAACCCTCCCTCCCCTCAGCCTCCCCAAGCTACGACCCCATCATCTCCAACTTCGCCCCCGTCTCCATCATCGGCCCCCCACAAGCAAGAACAAACTCCAACACCTTTGAAATCGCCGCTCCCTTGACCCTATTCGACACCCCCTTTGGCCTCGGCCCTTCCGTCGGCGTCACACCCCGCTGGGCCAAGGAAACGACCAAGATGGAAGAAGGCCAGGCAGAGCTGCACGGGTATCTAGCTCAAGACGACGACCATGACGAGGGCGCGAACTCGGTAGCGTGGGATATGGCTGAGAACCCTGTTAGCAAAGGGGGGATATTCCGCTCGTTTCGGGGGGTGGTTTTGCTGACCCTGCCGAGGCCGGGAGAGCCGTTTTGGATGAAGGTCGAGGTTAAGCCTGTGGTGAAATTCAGCTTGGATCCAAAAAGGTGGTTGGCGCAGAGGTTGATCGGAAAGAGGGATGACCCGATACTGCTGGATGGGAAGACAGGGTTGGGGGACTCGGTTTGTCATGGGTTTGAGGCTTTTGATGCGGAGGATTTTCCGTGGGATGCTGTGTTGAAGGGGCCGGGACAGTTGGGTGAGACGTGAGAGATTTGTTAAAGTCTGGCAGGCAATGTGGATGTTGGTAGTTGGATGGGGGTGTCCGAAAGAAGACACAAGATTCATATTGATGCAGTTGCGTACAAAATAGTGCCCCTGAGTAATGTTTCAGGGGTAAACCGCCCAAGCTGACAATAATAACCACAACAACAAAATGTCAAACAAAGAACTTGAACTTATGTCCGAACCGCGGCATAGCCCCATCCGGACACCCCCCAAGCATCACGCAATCGCCACCATCATCACACCTGACTCAAACAAAGAACATAGCTGCAGCTCCAGCAACTACCAGCGCCGCAACAGGTGCACCCGTCCTGGCAGCCGCATTTCCAGTCCTCGTTGACGTGCTGCTGCCAGTGCTAGTGGAGGTGATAGTCGTAGCAGAAGTCACAGTGCCGCTCGTGATGGTGCTCGTGCTAGTCAAAACAGTGCTTGTCGCCGCAGAGGAAGTCGAGGTCGACGAGCTCGGCGGCACAGAAGTGTTGGGATTCTCCACAATCTGGCCCCCAAAGGAAGGGACCCTTGGCGAAGTGGCGTTGCCTGCCCCCGCGGCAAGGTTTCGGTAGCTGGAGAGAGTGGTGATGCCTGTCACGCCGGGGTTGATGATGCCGAACATGCCGTTCTTGCAGTGCTGGCCGTTGTTTTGAGAACAGTAAAAGACGAATGGTTCTGAGCTGTTGATTTGGACGCGGAAGAGTTGGGACTGGAGAAAAACGGTTAGTTGCTAATATCGGAGAGTAGAATCGAAACGGGAGCTTACATTGATGGTATCTACCGCAGTGGGGAAGAAACCTGACCAAAAGCCGCCAGTGAGACGAGGAATACAGGGCCTGGTGAACTCCCCCGCTACCACGCTGTGGTTTCTGGGCCAGAAGATGAACTGAATAATATCGCCAGCTCCGGCTCGGATTTCGTTGGGCTCAAAGGTGAGGCCATTCTTGCCGACGGAGACGTTCCAGGTTATGGCGGTGGTCTGGGAAACAAGTCCCGCCAGGCTGAAGATGCTGCTGAGTTTCATATTGATAGGTTGGACGAGATCAAGGTGTATGCTGCAGCCTCTTGGTGGTGTCGCTCATCTGACCTTCCAGCAGATTTTGTAGGCCTTGTACAACACCCGACATCTTTGTTCACATCAGGCCGACCGAAATAGATGGTTGATAAATCGTGCCTATGTCATGGGCTAACGGACGGCTCCTGATTGGATAGCGGAAAGAAAGGCGCGAGCTGACACGCGGTGGCGTGAGTCGACGCAGACCTACAATCTCTGAGGGGGCGGGGAAATTCGTCAGCATACAACAAAGAACGAAAGCCCACTTGAGCTCACAACAGGATATTTGACGCTGGTGTGATAGGCGCTAGACTCAAAACATCACCTGTCATTGTCGGAGGCGCAATAATTCCGCGAACCAAGGCTTGGTGGTGCGGCTGGAAACGCGGTGGATATCTGGATAAACCACTTGCTAGCAAGATATGAGAGCAATGTCCCATCACAGTCAGAGTACATGGTAAGCAGGTTATAGGAAACTTTCTCATCAAATCTCTTTCCAAAATTCATGGAGACACGGGCCTGAATTCAAATGTGATGCCTACCAAGTAAGGCAAAGCATCAGAAAGTGAAGTCGGCTACTGTGGAAGTTAGAAGGGTTGGGATCCCGAAAACGTGAACGCGATGGTTGTTCTGCTGGTACATATGGGAGCAGAGAATTTGCAGCCCTGACCTGGATGAAAAAATGTCATGGCATGGCGTGATTGGGTTGCTGCAGGTCAGGAACGGGCGTTCCATATTCTCATGCTGAGGTGTGTTACGCCCAGACTCGTACTCTGGTGCGTTAGGGTAAGATTCTGTTGGTGCAGGGTTTATGTTGGCAGAAAGTTAGGGTGCACTGGGCAATAAGGGTGGCGTAAGGATTGATGCCTCTCTCTCTGAGAATCAGATGAAGACTTAGATTGAAAGCTGTCTAGGTAGAGACTGGTGTGAGTTGCGAGGGTAGACTCGCTGCTCCTAAATACTTCTTAAGCAACGGGCCTCGGCCTGTTGCCATCCCAGGTGCCATTACCACCTGGTTATCCAGTGTCCTCCTGCCCGTAGGTCCTGTGCTATTTGTCTTGATGCCATTGCCCTGTGGTCAATTGTCTTGTGGTTACTCCTGACCTCATATCTTGCCGTGGTGTCGTAACCAACCGTAGTCACGAGCTTACAACGCTGACATGTCTTGGCAGGTTGTAACAAGGGTTTCCTGCTTTCTCAAATATTTTCTCTTTTCTGCCACAAATGTGACCATGACGTCGCTTATTTTCTCCATTTGTGCCTTCTTAATCACACCAGTCTTAGTGGTGGCATCTGCTTGTTTCACCGTGACCTTGGGTATATAAGATGTAGGTACTTTTCACACAGCCATGCAACTGCTGTGTTATCGCCAACCACCTTCGACATTTGAGATATTTCTTCTTCCTACTTGTCCATGAAATCCCGGCTGACGCGTCAGCAGCATCAGATCATCTTTCCTGGCTTGAGAGTTTTGCTTTTTTGAGCGAGCAGGACCACGCAGTCTCAGGTGTATATATCATGGATGGTAGGTTGCGACGAGCCCTTGGCATGCGCCCTGTCAGCCCGTTGGGTCCGTGTAACAGTGAAAATGCCAATATATGCGGAAGCTCAGCATGTTTCGTTCTCCTATCTAGTTTGCTTCCTCGGACTTTCCTTGTGCTATCTTACTACAGCATCGCAAGCAAGCCTAGCATACATGCATGGTTCATCGGCACTAGGTCTTTGTGGTAGCATTGGTATCCCACAGCATCGACTTTTGGACCAGTTACCTACCTAGCGTTGTCTGATTTGACGCACACAGGATATCAAGCTAAACCCTTTATCATTGCCTAGGCTCAGCCAGTGTAGCCATTCCCACCCTCCGGACCGGAGGCTCCGGCCGATGTTGCCAGTCTTATACCAGACCGACGGGTCGGATTGTCTCTGCCGTGTCACCAGTGCAATGCCAACTTTGTATCGCATCCTGGATCAAGACAGCTCGGACTCGAATTTTCGGTCATCATGATGGAAGATACCTGCCCACGATCGCTGGACCTACATGATCGACTGGCATGGCGGTGTAGAGCATAGCCTCTAGTCGTCAATCGGTCTGGTAGGCACAACGAGTACTTATATGTGTTCAGATATGTCATAGCTTGCCATCCCAGGGGTTAGGATTCCGCTAGTCTGCTTGCATTTTTCCGCTTTTTAAACACTCCCCTTGACCTACTTGAAGAGACGCCTTTCTTGACCTTTCCATACTCTTTCCTTAACCTTTCCAATCACCACTGGAGATGAAGATGGCACCCAACACCTACGACACTGTCATCTTCGACATTGGCGGTGTCCTCTTCGACTGGGACTCTTCAGCTGTTACTGCCCTTCCTCGGAAGACAATCCACCTTATGATGCACACCGCGACCTGGCATGACTTGGAGAAAGACAGCATGTCGACTGATGAGGCGTACACGGTACATGCCCCCCTTTCAACCCTTTGACCTGTTCTTACCAACTTGTCATTCTCTAGAAACTTGGGATGGATTTTGGTGTCGACCCGTCACTTGTTCAGCTAGCTCTACACCAAGCCCAGTCAACCTTGCGAGTCAACAAGGAAGCATTGGCTTTGATCCATGAGCTTGCCGCAGCAAAGGCACAGGGAGCCCGCCCGCTCAAAATCTACGCCATGTCCAACATCGCCAAGGAACACATGGACATCGTCCAAGCGCTTCCTTCCTTCCCATGGCCCGTCTTTGACAGGATCTTCACCTCCTTCGACGCCGGCATGCGAAAGCCAGATCTTTCCTTCTATCGCCATGTCATTCAAGAGACGGGCTGCAACCCATCCACCACCTTGTACCTGGATGACAAGTCCGAGAACATCTGTGCTGGACGACTGCTGGGTTTACGTGGAGAGATTGTAGACCCAGACCAGAGAACCCGAGCTTTCAACATTGTCAGGAACCTACTCCTGGAGGACGCCTCTCTCCGTGCTGAGCGTTTCCTGCACATGCACGCTGGCAAGCTTGACTCTGTCATCTCGATGCCGGGAAAGGACGATATCGTCTTGAAAGACAACTTTGCCCAGCTCATGATCTGGGGACTGACCGGCATGGAGGACATTGTGTACCTTACCTGGCCAGATGGTATTATTACCAGGGGCCAAGAAGAGGCAGACATGATGGACACCACAAGCCCCACCCCCATATCCGATGCTTCCTGCTCACCCTCACCCGCCCCTTCGCCCCCATCCTCATCCACATCCCCTCCATCCTCGCCCTCCCCTTCTTTGCACCACCTCGAAGTCAAACCCACCCTCTGGAATTACTTCACTCACTCCTCCCCCATCCTAACAACAACCACCTTCCCTCCCGACATTGAAACCACCTCCATCGCCTACCTCACCATCACCCCTTCCCACCCCAACTACCACCTCCTCTCGCCCCCATCTCTAATCGCAGAAGCGATGTTCGCCATTCGCAACAAGGACGGTCACTTCGAGACGTACTTCTCCCCCGACCGCCACGGCCGCGTAAGCCCAGAAGTCTGCGTCTCTGTCCTCCGCTGTCTGAACAAATTCTTCTCATCAGGCCAAATCCCTGACCTCCCTAGTCTTGACGTCACCGACGAGAGGATCGAACCCTCCAAAAAATTGGTGGCGGATTGCCTTCGGTACCGGGCGAATGTTTATGGGAATAGGTTCTACCCCCACCCAGAGAGTTTCTTGTACTACCTGGCCATGTTGTGTGATGAGTGCAGGGACTCCTCGCCGAGGTTGTGTGGGGAGTTGAAGGGGGAGCTGGAAGCTGCGTTGAGGGAGAGGTTGAATGTGCCTATAAATGCGCTTGCTTTGGCGATGAGGGTGAGGGCTTGGCAGCTTTTGGGGCTGGGGAGGGGGTTTGTGCAGAGGGATTTGGAGAGTTTGTTGGGGATGCAGGAGGGGGATGGGGGGTGGCCGGCGGGGGATTTTTGTTCTTATGGACGGGTGCAGAAGCAGAGGATTGGCAGTAGGGGGTGGACTACTGCGCTGGTTTACAGGATTTTGAGGGATTGGGGAATGTGAGTTGGGGAGGGGGGTTCAGGGGTGAAAGGTTCTAGAGATGATCAGTAAAAGCTAGACCATGATGTGATGGAGAATTGCTCTGGGGCAATGACTCAAGAAGTGAGCCTGCCTGTTTCCCTTTCAGCATATGCCGGTCGTCCTCTTCTTCCCTGTACTTTCTTCCGGCGGCTTCTTGGCCATTGATGGCGTATTCTCGTCCACGCGTTTCCCTTGTAGGTATGTCACACCCCGCGGTGTTCTACGCAATCTTCATCCTCCACAACTGATTCTTATTCCAAGCCTCTCTCTGATAGCCAATAACAGGGTTTCTGCGATTTTTCTTTGTCAAAACAGATCCATCACTGGAAAACTAACTGAAGCCATACCCATTATCCCGCTTTCCTTCCGACATGTCAGCCACAGTGAAAGAATTCCTGTTCTGGAGTCTTTCCCTCTGTCAGTCAGTCGAACTCACACCGAAATTCTCAACCGTCACTCACATGCACTGTGACCCGTCGTTATACTTCTTGGTAATGATCAACCATTCCTGATTTCCGTTTCCGGCATAATACTTCCACCCCATTATTTTGGTGCAGTCATCTGGACTACCACCGTCGAGGTCCAGTACAGCTTCAAGAGACAGCCGTTAGCAACCTTAACACCAATCCAGGTAGTGAGGTGAACGTAACATACTCCCAGACGCAACATTGTGAAGAACCCAAGCCCCGAAAGGCCCTGAATCGACTTTTTGCAATCGCCATTGCTGCGCCTTGCTACCTAGGTATTGCCACCCTTGGACTTTGTTTCCGTTGTGAGATTGCCCTTTGAGGTAACATGTCAGTTCCTGAAGGGCTGTTCAGGCGATTGGGGCGGGGACAGACCGCCATGGAGATCGAGGACATTGCCTGTGGATTCGCTGAAGAGGTAGACCACGCGGCCGTTCCATTCGTCAGGGAGGAGGTAGTCTTGCTCGGGTTCTGACATGACGAGAGTGTCGAGGAGAAATAGGGTCCAGCCTAGAGGCAACCAAGGTAAAAGAAGGAAGATGGGGACCTTGATAGAGTTCCAGTGCCAGGGCAGGTAACAGATCCAATCATGTCCCATTGATACCCAAATGCCGAGGCCCAGATTCTCCCCACTGGCGGCCGGTGATTAGCCATGACGCCACGTCGACCTCTGTGACATGCAAGCCCGACTTTTGACTAGTAGTCTGTGCTGGTTTACCGCTACACCCTCCCATGGGAACACACCTCTGCCGGGGGCCACCACTCATTCAATTTAAACATGGCCGAGACTTGCTAGTTACCCACAGAAGCCTCCTTCCCAGCTCCCTGACACGGGCGAGTTTGATATGGAACTTTTCAGTTAGGTACGATTCATAAATGTCTTCACGCTGTTTCCATCACCAGTCATTTCCGTCAATTTCTTCTGAGCTGTCTCTCTCGCCTGCCCACATGGCTGCCTCTATTTGCTTCTTCGCATCCTCTTTGGCCGTCTCAGCACCAGCCTGGATGGCATGCTTCGCTTCCTGATCCACAACAAGCCCATGGGAGGAAATGGCCCTCTCCATTTCGAGCGCTGTCTTTGCCGCCTGATCGATGCGCCTGCGAAGACCAAGAGTGAGCTCTTCCTGTTTTTCCTTCACAATCCTGGCGACGGCCGCACCGGACCCCTCCATGTATCTGGTCAACCGATCTTGCATCTCCATTGTGCCATTTCCGAGAGCCGCGCCCTTGGACAGCTCGCTGCAAAGGTCCAGACCGTCGCGTACATGGGGCTTGTCTACTCGGTTGTACATGGAGCTGATGTCTTGCAAGACTGAAAAGTAGCCCTTGAGCTGTAGCGTCGCGGTGTAGATGGTCTGCTTTGATAGATCATCGACCTTGAGCCGCCCGTTGACCTTGGCACGCCGGCCGGCCTTGCCCATCTCGGTCGTGAACTCGGCAGCGCGCACCAGGATGATCTCGTCGATGACCGTGCTCAGCATGGTGAAGAACTGTTCGATCTTGGCAATCTGCACCGTGAGGTCGACCAGGATTGAGATACAGCTGCGGAGAACCGACTTGATCTCCTCGAGTGTTCGGCCCTGCGCCTGGAGTCGAGTGAGCTTTTGCTGGATCTCAACCATCATTGCTGCGGTCCTGGCTTGTTTTATCAGGGCACTGTCGTATGCGTCTTGCTTGGCGTCGGCCGCTGACTGAGCCAGCTGGACTGCTTGCATGGCTGAGTTGAGCTGGGCAGTCTCTGTGATTTTGGGTCAGGATGGGACGCATTGCGAGTACGGATAGGAAAGTCTTACGGGCTGAGGTGTCCACTGGGTTGACTTTGATGTTTGCAAAGGGATTCGGCACATTGGTAGAGCTAGCTGTGTTTCCAGCCACGCTCAGGCGGAGGACATCCTGCTGGGCTTTCTTGACGCTCTTCTTCCATTTCCGCAGGCTGTCAGCCGGTAACCTTGCATCAGACATGCCATTCTCGCCTTCCCTCAAGTGCGTCCGAATGTCCTTGGTCACCTGTGGAGTGTCAGTGCACGATGCGTTTCAACTGCAAGACCTGGGCATATTCAACCAACTTTGATGAGTGTGCTGAACACAGCCTGCATTTTTTTGTTGGCAGCAGTATTTGTGGACTCCAGCTGGGCTTGCTGCCCTTCCAGGGTCCCAAGAAAGTATGACACTCCTTGGGGAATCCCCTGAGCCCCAGCCTCTTCATGCTCGACAAACTTCGACTGATCAAATTCGCCAGTCTCGCCACCAAGATACTCATAGTAGTGGTTGACCAAGTCGCGAATCGCGATAGCTGCCGCGTATGAGGGGTCTCTTAGCACTGCGGGGGCTGTGATTGCTGATTCTGGGACTGCGCCCGCGTGGCCGCCAGGAAACACAGCGCCGACGCCTTGCTTCACCGAGGAGATTGCCGAAGTCATTGCACCCACCGGACTCACGCTGGCCATAATGGCCGGAATAGCGGCAGAGACGATGGTGGGGATCGCCGAGACGTACCCATTTACAATACCTGTCACAAGGTTCTCCAGCGGCCCGGGAATTTTGTCGATAGCTGTGTCGAGACGTTTCTCGGCTCGCTTGAGAGCCACTTCGGCCGCTTTTACTTCCTCCACCGCCGTTTTCTCTTGTATTCGTTCGAATTGAGCCCGAACCCTGGCCACGTCCTCGTCAATCTTGATGGCGTCCTTCTGAATCGACGCTCTCCCGGATTCCGCTTCAGTGCAGGCATTCAGCTCGCCGACCATCAGGCCCCATTTTGTGAATGCCTCGCGAGTTTCGGTGGCGAGAGCGGCGCATCGCTTTGCGTCCTTGTTGAAAGCGTCAAGCGCATCGCGGAAGTCCTCCAGCTCCTCTTCCCCCTTGGTGCAGGGCCCAAGACGCTTGAACACCATAGGAATCTAGGTAGTCATCATGAGCACCGATGACAAGCGTCGAGATCATTCTACCGACTCACCCGCTCCTCGCAGATACGCCTGCTGTTTATCTCCAGTGCGTCCATATTGGCACCTGCTTTGGTGAAGGCCGCTCGTCCACCGTTGTTGCAGACTGCATGCGGTTAGCAACGTACAATCTCCGTAATTTGGGGGACAGAGTCTGAATACCATCAACCAGGCATGATCTGAGCGTTGGCTCAGCCCGCTTCGTCATATATCGGAAACCATCTGTGGGCATGCACTTGGCCATTGAAATCTTCTCGGCCATGGGGTCTGCTGCTGCGACCCAAAGAGAACCCATCAACGAGAGCGCAGTGGGAGCGGCGCTGATGAGCTCGGACCAGTCGGCTTGAAAGAGCGTAGAGCATTTCAACTCGTCGACGAACTGATTGGAGAGCTTGCCTCTATACTCAGACGTGAGCTTGTCGTTTTGGATCTGCCGGACCTCTAGGAGAGCTGACTGTGCCATAGTGAAGCCAAACGGGGTGAAGAAACAGATGTAGACTCTGAAAGAAGCGGTTGTGCTGTTTTGGAATCATAAAGGATGATGTGGGGGATATAATCAAAGGTACCTATTCCTGAAATGAAGACAGTTGAGTTGATGTTCGAACCCGCCCCTATACACGACCGCCTCTCGATCCCGGAAAGCCCTGACCCGTAAGTGCCAGTTACCTCACACGGTCACGTTCTCATTTGTCACCTTGGAAAGCTGGCTGGCTCTTACTGGCCATTTTAGCGTTGTTGTATCGAGTTGTGAAGTTGCCTTGATTGGACCACACGCACCAAACGACTTTCTTGGCCGGGGTTGATCATCAGTGCCCAACCCAGCCCAACCCAACCGACCTAACGCAGGGTTCTTGAAGGCGAGAGGAAAGATGAGACTCAGGATTAGGCCTGCAGTCGATACCAGGTAAGTTCCACCGAGTGAATATCCCACCGCCTCCCCTGTAGAGCAAGCACAATGGATAACGCTTTCGAGGAACGATGGAGGGATGATTGTGATTGGCTTAAAGATCCGCTGAAGAAAATCGGCAAGTCCTGCAACAATCGAGCTTGAATCAATAATCTCCTGACCAGAATAGACCGACTTCGGAACAAGCACAGTGCCTTCCTGTTGCCTGAGACGCACCGATATATCAAGGCTTTTGAAGAGAAGACTGAGGCTATAAATTCACTCGAGGCAAAAGCTGTCCGGCGGACTGAAGACAGAGCAAAAGTCGCCTGTGGATCGCTCGAGGTGGTTGTCCACTCTCTGCTGCTCATCGAGAGAGGAGACAAGACGCTATCTCGCCAAAGCAGCACCATTGTGGAAACACTGGACTCCACAGCTGCCAAGTTCTCGAACCTCAGTCAGGTATCAGAGGAACACATGTGGGAGCTTGGTGTCGAGGCAGGAGATTGCATGGAGCTGAAAGACAGCGTCGGGTGCTTTCTCGACAACCTCGAGGCCAAGATCTCGGAACTAAACAGCTTTGTTCCACACGTTTTTGATCAAAAGGCTCGACAGGATCGCCTAGTTGACGAAAGGCGTAGTCGTGAAAAGGCTCTTGCAGATCACTATCGGAATGCTCAAAACGCGTTGGGCGTGAGTTATGACCCTCATCTAGAAATGTCCGAAGCGTGTGCTAACCGATAATCTGCCCACAGAACGTTGGCAATGTGATTGCCAACTTTTTTGACCGCGCTGTCATGCGAAATGCTAGGCACCGCCTCAAGCTCGCCCACACCGCCCTCGCCGACAACCGGAGGGAGCAAGAGCGGGCACAAAGCATGAGCAGGGCTTATTACCAGCTTGCCATGACTGTGCGGAACCTCAGCGCTGCTATCTACAGCCTTCAGATCACTCTGGAGAAGCTCAAACAGGATATTGGCGAGAAGTACAGCTACGTGACAGATAAGCAGAGTGCCGAGACTCGTCTCTGCCGCGGGCTTCTTGATCTGCGCAACCAGATTGTGTCTGGGGACTGGACCACCACGCGTGACCATTCGCTGCAGGTCGTGCTCAAGCTGCTCACCGCTGGCGATGCTGTGTTTATTCCCAGACGGCACTACGAGCAAGTCCAGGCACGCATCAGGGACAGTATCACGGCCAAGTTGGGGAATGGGGCAGTACAGAAGCTGATAGAGAACGTGCCGATGCATGTCGATGGGTCAGATGCTGCTTTGGAGTATTGATACCGTCTACATGTTTTGTTTCTTTGCGACTAGAAACAGAACGACCGCCTTGCTTTCTACAAACGGCCAAGAACCATCCGATAAGACCTTCCTCCCAGCTTCGCCGTGGCCTGGAACGAAAGACTCGGTGACCCGTGCGTGCGTTTTTCTTTTCTTAAACGAGATTTCTGGGGCAATTTAGAGTTAAACTGCGCTAGAAGGAAAGTAGATATATCTGCAAAAGCTCAGATAGGTATGTACCGTAGTATGGAGTAAGGAATTGAAAGCTCCCTTAGAAAAATGGTTTGAAATGTCGCCGTGTGCACCTCAATGGTTATCTGTCTTCCACTTCTTATCCTCGCGTCTCTCTCGGAGTTTCCCCCACACCAATGGCCTTTTCCTTCCCCTTTTCTCCTCTTGTTCCAAGCTCTCTTGTTTCCTGATCTCTTGTTCCCTCCTCTCTTGCTCCCTATTCTCCTGTTCCTTCTTCTATCGTTCCCTGATGTCAGTCCACAGCAAACCCGTTCATCGTTATAGCTCTCTTGCAGAATCTCGGCAAGCTTCAACCTCCAAAGCTGTTGGTTTTTCTCTGCTAGCTGCCTTTGAAACGCCAAATATCTGGGTGAATGGCCGAAACCAAGTTCGAATAGGTAAGCCCGCATCTTGTCAGTTGGTGCGAGATCAACCCCTGTTCTACCCCAACTGTTGGCTTCTGGAAGACGTATATGCCCCTCCCGGGAAAGTTCAGTGAGATATGTAAAGTCCTCGATGCTCACCCCCAAGGCTGCCATTTGGAAGAGAGTATTCCCAAACGAGTCCACAAGTGTCAGGTCCTGAGGCCGCTGGTAGAGTATCCCCTCCAGCATGATCAAAGTCCCATATGCAGAAGCAAAGGCAACGGGTCGGCGGCCGTGTTTATCCCGGAGACTAAGGACAATCAAGAGGTGCTCAGCCAGCTACATAAAAATGTCGTCGTTGCCAGAGGTGATGGCTCGATGCGCAATCGTCCATCCCTGGTTGTCTTTTGCATTTAGGACATGGGGTGGGCATTTGGCTGCTAGAAGCTTAAGGACTTCGAAATGGCCTTTGCGCGCGGCAACATGGAGGAATATTTCTCCCTGTACTGTCTTTTTTTGAGTAGAGGTACCTCGATTTGAGGAGGGCTTCCACCACGGGCAAGAGTCCTTCCTGTGTTGCCCTGTGTGATGCTAGCAAGTGGTTGCTGAAATCCAAGTCTGGCCAGCCCAGAAGAACTGACACAACCTTGTCTAATACCGCATGGAGGGCAAAACTCAGCGGTGTCTGCCTCACAGGCCAACCACGTCTGGGCCAACCCCAGGAAAGGAAAGGATCTCGGAAAGTGCTTTCTCTGATGCAAATGGTTCGGTGGTCCCTTTCTGAGTCTCGCCGCTTTCTTCCCGGAGGATGGCGAGGTCTTGTTCACCTTGCCACTCTCGAATGCACCTGTGTAATAGAGCCTGTCTGAACCGAGTTCTGCCGTTGATGTCTAGGCCTAGGCTGGTCAGAAAGCGCATAGCCTCAAGTGGCAACTTGCGCATATTGGTGACGACAACATGTATGAAGTGATCGCCGTAAGTGTCGGTAATGTTGAGACTCAGCTGAAAAGGCGGTTTGACCCCTGATTCGAACAGGCAATACAAGTTATGGTGCCACAGACGAAGAACGAGCTCACTAATATCATACCATCTCACACGTTTTGTTGACAGATCGAAAAGCCGTGAAAGGTAGTGCCAAATGTCTTCTGCTAGATCGTTGCGGCCCTCAAGATGGTGAAACCAGTATTCGTAGGCGTACGAGAGAAACTTGTGCTGCTCACACGCAATTCCAAGGTCATGGGTTGCAAATCCGTCAAGTGCGAGATATGAGAGACAATCAAGACCCATCTCAAGATTGGCAGTAACCGCGTCGATATGGGAATTGTTTGGCTTGTTGTTCATCATAGGAGCTCCAATGAGGTAGTCCTTGCATGACAAGTGAACCAGGGTTCCCATTCCCGTCTTACCAATCCTGATGAGATGAGGACACGCGCTTCGGAAAAAGGCTTGCACGTTGAGTCGAGGATCAATGTCGCGTAGTTCATCTCGCCGTTCTCTTGAAGCGAGCGCAATTGAAAGGTCGTCGACGGTTAGCGGTTTTGCCGCAGAAACAATCGGGTGCAGCGAATGCAGCAAATCGTTTCGATATCTGAGGCCCACTTCGTCTAGTGTCCGTTGGTAGAGCGACTCCATGCCAGGTAGTAGATGTTGGAGGACTTGTAACCTTTGTGCTATAATCTTCTTTGTCCAGATACCAACCCCATCGGTGAAGAAAGCCCAAGCAAGTGAGGCCCAGAGAAACATGCCATGCGCTCTTCTCGTCAACTCTGAACTGATGATTTGACACAGCTCGTTTGAGAATGTGTTTTCGTCGCCGTGTACCGATACAGTCCCAGTAGCATAGACAGCGAGGTCGGTTTCGCTTCCCTTGGCGGTATCGAGGTTTAAAGAGTATGCACCCACTGCGTTCATATGTGTGGTGATAAGTGCATCGACACGGCTGGTGACGATTGTTCCCGATGCTTTGGTGTCAAGTTGTAGTACCATTTTACTTAGACGCTCCAGAAATATGGCCCTATCATTCTTCTCCAGCTCATCAAGGGTGCCCAGAACAATATAGACACTTCTGGTCGCTCCAGCATGCCGAGGATGCCGATTGCGATGTCGTAGTGCGTGGGAAATAGGTAGGCTGAGGGGAAGGAGCATTCAGTGTTGTCTCCTTCATTTGACACACTGCCATTAATGTACCGCCGACATCAAAGAGTATCCATATCTCCAGGTCTACAACTTTCTTTTCAAAGAAACCGTCATATTCTTGATTTATCTTTCTGGTTGTTTAACAGCATATGGAAGCTCCCAGACCCATCTGGTCACCCTGAAGGAACCCTCACCTGTGCGGATGAAGGCCACCATGATGGCCTCAACACGACAGGCCCATGAAAACGGCCGATTCCCAATGATTTCCATGTTCGAAACCCGCGCCTGTTGATCTCCACCAATTTACGGACCAGCGGCACCTGTCACTAAGACAACTCGATGGCGTCCATGGCTCTATTCGAGTCACGATGCAAGATTATTTCTCATTTGTCTCAAGCAAGCGCACACCTGGAGCGAGCGAATTCTGTATTCCAATCTCTCCGACCAACGTAAGCGGCATCCCGATCATGTCAGCTTTTGATTACCTCTGGGATGGTCACCCCAGGCCCGCGGGGGGCCACGACCAGGAAATCGACCTGCCCGACCAGGAGACGGCCAATGCAGGACGGAAACATCTTATGAATGATTCTCGCCACAGGAGAGAAATTATACCACTGTTCGGACTTGATCGTCTCTCCAGATGCGACCACGCCAAACATATACACTTTGATCCTTCAGGGTCCACCATGGCGCCAGCATTGTGTTGCAAACATTTGGCAAGATCGATATAAACCATGCTGTCCGCTCCGCAGCCTGGCTCTGTTTCTTGTTCGTCAGGAGTCACCTCCCGCGCTCCCAGGACAACTATCACAGCACGGTCGATTCATTGGAGGACTCGACGCACCGTCCGCAGCCAACTATCTGGGCGTCTGATTTTCTCAACATCACCATCATGCCCCGTTCACCCATGAGTCCCATCTTCAACCACACCAACTGGGACACCATTGACATTGGCATTGATAACTCGGTCCACAACACCTCTGACACGATGACTTCTAACAACACCCTCTCCGGCTACCGCTACGTCCCAGCCAACCTGAAGCACGCCGCCCCCAACACCACTGAAAACGACGACGCCATCTCCCGGCACACGGACCTCTTCCCCCTTCCCCCAACCTACTCCCAGTTCCACCCCCCGTACACCCCCTCGCCAAACTACCACACCTTCCCTTCTCTTCCCCCTACCAACCCCGACAACGACTCCTCCTCAGACTCAGACTGCTACTCCGACCACGTAGACCTAGATTCCTACCTCGCCCCCTCCCCCACCGTAGCCACCGCCCCCGTCTTTCCCTCCTTTACCAACAGCCACAAGTCCCGCTCCCACAAGAAATACCAACCTCGTGCCCCTCCCTCCCTGACGTTCTTCCCCCGTCCCTCCCCAGCCCCGAAGATGATGCCCTCTACTCGCCCAGTCCACCAAAGCAGGCATTTATCTACACTCTCGGCAAAAATGCCACTCCTCCCAGTTCACCACACGTACCAACCCTCCGCAGAGATTAAAACCCAGCCCAATATCTTGACATCCGTTTTGGGCGCTTTCACCACTGGCGATAACAAGAAAGAATGCGCATCTTGGTACCACGACGAGATGGAAGAGGAGCTGGAGATCACACCTAGCTTAGTTCAGGGGTTGGATTTGGAGAGTGAGAAGCTCCAGTATGGGGACTGCCAGAGCAGCTGGTGGTGTGTTTTCCAGTTTTTGGTCATGGTGCTGCTTGGGTTTTTGTTTCTTGGGGTGATGTTCCTTGCGGGAAAGACATTGTGGGAGTTGGGATGGGAGGTGGTTGCTTGGATGAATGGAAACGAGGCCGCTGTTGAGGGTGTGGTCGGGGGAAGGCTTTGCAATGATGCTCACCCGAGGTTTTGTCACCTTGTTGTTGGGGCTGAGAGGTAGACTGCGCAGGTTTGCCAACTGACAATGGGAATCTTTGGACTTTTGACTTGCTTTGTGACTGGGCTGGCTGGCTTTATTACACTGTGATATCTCCAGAGTATCAAACAAATTACTTCCTCCCCGCCTTCGCCTTCCTCTTCACCGCCTCCACCAAACTACTCAACTCCCCCCCATCACCATCACCATCATCCTTCTTCACCTTCTTCTTCTCCCTCACCACCACCTCCTCTCCCTCCCTATACCCAGCCTTCCTCTTCTTCCTCCCTTCCTCCAACAACTTCTTCATCCCCTCGGTGGCCTTGAACTTCGGATTGGAAGGATCAATAGCAAACTCATGACTCTCAAACACGGCCTTGAAACGCTCATCCTCCACGTCCATCTTGAACCCATCCTGCAACCCGTCCTTCTCCCCCTCCCCGTCCGTCGCCTTCTTTCCCTTGTTCTTCTTCCCCTTCTTGCCCTTTTGCTTCTCCGCTTTGATCACCTCCCTCATGTCAAAGTGATCCAGATGGTCCGCATCACCCTTCTCATCAGCCATAAGCAGCTCCAGCTGCGCCTTGGCAGCCTTGCTAGCCTTCTCTTCCTTCTCCTTCTCCGCCCGTTTCTTGAGCCGCTCCTCCTTGCGGATGGCAGACTTGGACTTCTCGACGGGCTCAGAAGTGAAAAAGGGGTCGTCAAAGCCGAGGTCTCCGCCTCCCGCGTTGTCCCCGGCAGCAGCAACTTCTTCAACATCAGATTCGCCCATCCTGTCAGGATCACCACCGTTGCGTCTGGCAAGCATCTTTTGCCTCTTGGCTTCCTTCCTCTCGCGCTCGCGGCGCTTGTACTTCTCGATTGTGGTCTCCTCTTCCACAGGCTTCTTGTTATTCGACTCTGACAGGGCAGGCGTAAACGTAATTTCCATCGCGCCCGCCGGGGCGGGAGACTTGGACTTTTTGGTCGTGGGCTCCTCGGGAAGGCCCAGAGCAGCGCGCATTTTCCGGCGGGCGAGTTCCTTTTTGCCGAGGGGCTTTTCGGCTTCTTCTTCCTCGCCTCCAGCAGCATCGGTGGCGGCTTCTGGTTCCTCCTCTTCATCTTCAAAGTCTTCCCCATCGTCAGAGCTGTCGCTCGCAAGGTAGGCACGGAGGTCATTTTCAGCAATGTCGTTTTTGCTGCCGGAAAAGGCTTTCTTGATTTGTTCTTTCCTGTTGACCTCTTCCGGGTGCATATCCCAGGTGAGCTTGACCTTGGAGTGTTGCAGCGCGTCGGTGACGAAGTCGACTGGCTTGTACCCCGGTGGCACAGCGGTGCACTCGTCTCTTGGCTCGTCGTCAAAGGTGGTATCGTCGGGGATAAATCGCAGGTCGAGGAAGTTGGAGGAGGAGAGATATTCGGTGCCGTCGGTGGCCTCGTAAATCTTGTGCGCTGTGCCCTTGTCGGAGCAGACGGCCACGGCGTAGTAGTACCGTAACCTGTCGAGCTGGTATGTCCGCAACTTGTCGCTATCAAAGTCCTTGTCGTCGCCCTCAGCTAACAGCTCCCTCTTGACCTCCTCGTCAGAATCTTCGTCAGAGTCCTCGTCATCCTCATCCTCATCCTCGTCACTGAAACCCTCCGAGTCCTCACCGCTATCATCGCTGTTCTCGCCCTTGCCCTTCTTGAAGATCTCTCGTGGTGGGCCCTCGAGCTCCTCTCTTTGCATCCTTTCCTTGCCGAACTCACTGGGGTAGATCGACACCCTCTCAATCCTCCCCCCTGGCGGCACGAAACTGCTAAAAAGCGCCATCAGATCCACAGACTTGATGTGATCCCAGTCGATATTCACCACCGCAAACCGATTGGTGATCTCACCCTCCGGCACATCCTCCTTCTCCCTCCTCAACCGAATCCCAGGTCGCGACTCCTCCTCCCCATCATCCACCTCTGGCTGATCTTCCCCATCCGACTCAGAGTCCGAATCCTCCTCCGAGGAGCTAAAACCGCCATCTCTCGCCGGATCATATTTCTTATCAGCCTTCTCGAGCTCGCGACGAACAATATCATCCCTCTCCACCTCCCCATCTACCACCTCCTCGTCCTCCCCAGACTCCTCCTCATCCTCATACAACCTCTCCAACGCCTTCTTCTTCGAATCAGTCTCTAATTTCCGCCCGTAGCGATCCACCTTGGCCGTAGCCAAAAACTCGTCATCGTTGAGCACCTTGGAGAACCGCTTGTCGAGCTTGGTCTTGATGTTTCTTTTCGAGGGCAATTGGAATCGGGGATCGGTCTCGAAATTGGCAAAACGGGCGTCCTTGATACTGGACGCCGCGCCGGCGTTCTTTTTTGTTGGTTTGGGCATTTTGGATGTGGTGGGGGGAGGGGGGGGTTTGTTGCGACAAAATGAACACAAATTGGAGCAACGCGCAAAAGCTAGAGCTTGGGAAATGCGATCGACTTGGAGCCGTCTTGAAAATTTTAGTGGGGTATCTTAATTCTGCCTGTTAGGCGGTGAAAAATGCAAACTAAATCGTGTTGCGGGTCAGGCCCCGCCTTTTCCCGGCTTGTCAAATCCGTTGCGCTGGAAATCCAATCCGAACTCACTCCCCCGCTGTTTCCGATGCCGCCGCCTGGCCGCGCAATGCGCCACGGGTGAAGATGTGTCCTCCCGTTCTTCCCTGTGCGCCATAGCTTTTTCCCTCCTCTCCTCCTGCGTTCAATCTGGTTGATGGGTATCTAGCGAAAAATAGAGAATCGTTCAATGTTTAGAGCACTGCTTGCTGGGCTACAGAATGTCAGCGCATTGATGCCCTGAAGAATAGCGGGGAGAGGAAGCACTCACCATCGCTCATCAGCACTTGCTCCAAATCCAGACAGCAAAAGGGAATGCGCCCACGAGCGTCCCGCATACAATCCATGTCAATCTGTCGCCGGTCCCCTGTTCTCGATCCTCCTCCTCCATGTAGGTGTTGACCTTTTTGTAGCTGTCGAGATTCATGGCGGCGTTGAGTATCGGTGATATCGGTATAAGAGGGGTACAATCTAGGAGGAACAGAACTTCAATATGCACAGCAAAATCTGCGATGGAAGAGACGGGTAATCTAGAAGAAGCGGGACGGCACGAGACCTATATACCTGTTTTCCCGCCCCCAGCGTTTTTTCCATGGAAACTTCGGAGCTTGACTGCCTGAAGCAAGTGGCCACTTCTTTGGCGGGTGGCCTTTTTGTTCACATGAAGAATGCACTGTCACGTCGCATCAGTTGACCAAAAAAAAAGAGCCCGCATTCCAATCCCGGGCGAACGTCCGCCTGCGGGCGGTTGGCTGAGCCGCCTGAGGGGCGCCATCGCATTCAGCCAACACAGGCAGGTCTTTCTCCAGGGCTGACTCCATCAACCGCTTTCAGTTGGCGGTTGACTTTTCCCGGGAATCCATCTCATTTCATCATCTTGTCTCGCAGACAACCCAAAGGATCTCCCCGAGTCAATGATACAAACCCGTTTTTCAACGCCAAACCAACTTTGTCTCACAATGGATGACGCCCTCGATTTTGAGGAGATTCGATTCATACAGTCAGTCCCTCTGGCAGATCCGGAACAGCACTCCATTTATCCAACTTGGCGTGCAGAATACCCGCTCGGGATGCCAGGTCGATCTCCAGTTGACAGGCGTGCAGTAGCCATCAAGCTTTTCCTCATAGGGGCTGGTTTCCGATCTAGGGATAAGGCCAGAGACAAAAACCCGCGTATCCATCTGTTTCTTGATCATGGTTGACGTCGATGCCGATGCTTGGTGGGGTTGGTGTTTGACGGGATTGCCAACTGCCTGGCCCTGGTGCTTATCAGATGTCAGTATGATGGATGAGGGAATCGAGCATGCCCGGCTGTTGTGAGACTGGAAAATTCCGAGTTGAGGTTACGCAGCATGATCTTGAACCAGCGCTGCGGTTGGCTGCTGATGGTTGGACCTCTTGCAGGATCATCCTTATGTTGTCCAACATCATCCTTCGGGTTCTTCTGACGAGTCCGAAGTTTGTAAGAATATATCCTACGTCCTGGTCGCCTCTTTGGGTCCTTTCTTCGATCTAGCTGCTGGGATCACTCATCTCTTCCTAGTATCTACCAGACTCATTTGTCCTTGCGGTATGGCATGCGGTCCGGGCCAGTGATCAGGGCTTGAAGAACCGTGGAGTCCCGTCTTTGCAGAAGGATCTAGGTACCCTACCAACCGCCCAGCTGTCACTTCTTCAAGTCTCGGCCGCGAGCACAGGACTGCTCGGATAGTGAATGGGCAATGGTTGGAGAAATTCTAATAGAAGCTAGGACTAAAAAATAAGACTATTGTTGCGATAGATAATCCCATAAGCCTGGATAGTAGACTTTTAAAACTAAAATTAAATCCATGAAGCTTTAGATTAAGAGAGAGGTAGTACTGAGATTATCGATACCGAACAGCCCAACAAATGGGATGAGCGACGCAGGGATGGCAAGATGGAATCACTGTCTATGACCAAATGGCCCCTTAAGTGGTACAAACAAGGCGTTTCATATCTAGACAGGCGAGCAGTCATCAGGCATCTAGAAGATGGGCCTCTTGGAACGAGAAGAGATGGTTTCAATAGGGAGAAGCGCTGGACTGCTATCGTGTGCCACGTAAACAGGAAATAAGGCAGAAAATAGCACTCACTCGCCGTGATAGGCTAGCTCTACTTTCCAGAAGCTAGTTGTCGTTTGCTGTCCTCTTTCTCTGCGACCTTTTGCCTTTTTGTCGACTTAGTAATCAAAGCAGCAGATGTTTTCTCAGCCTTGCACGCTTCTCTCCAACCGTCGCTGGTAATACTTGCTCTCCATTTTCGCGACTACGATTTTCTGCTTGCTGACCTAAAACTTGGACGAGAATTCTTAGCTCCTGTATCCAGAGCTACGTTAGCGACATGACAGCTGAGATGTTTTGGTTTGCTTTTCAAAACCATCGCCACCGCATCATGGGACTCAGCGTGGCGCTTTTCCCTCATGAGTCTGATCTGGATTAGCTGGGCTTGGGCTGTTGTGTTGACCTTTGTCTACAACTTGATCTACGGCATTTGGGCAGTGGCCGTCTGGCTTGCTGATTTCATGGAGCCCGGAGCAGCCTGTCACGCCTGTAGGAATGGTAAACGCATACCACACCCAGCTTGACCACGGCGAACAAGGTGAACTTTCCTCTCTTCTTCTCACTTGGTCTGATGCTAACTCTTCTCTCGCAGCAGAGGACGACTTGGTGGCTTTGATCATACGATGGCCAACAAGGATTCCGGCAAGCGTCTAACATCATAACTCAAGATCGTATCCTCACCATGTTGGGAACAGTGGAGGACCGGGTTCAGCAAGCTTTTTTGCCGCTCATCACCGAAGTCGCACATACCTGATATTTCTCTGCTTTAAAGCAGCCCGGTAGTTTGGCAGGATCCTGGCTTTATCTCGACAAGGTATCTTATTCTTTTACCGAATCTCAAGCATCCAACTTTTACGCAAAGTCACTCGAGTTTGGAGTTCATTTGATTTGACCTTCTTTCGTCCAATTTCCAGGTCACGAGCTGCCACCCACATAGCCCTACAAGCAACACCATCATGTCTATGCCACTCACCTCCAATTAAGTGATGCTTTGAGAAGCACCAACTCTTGTAGTCTAGGCGGAAGGTAATGGAATTCTATATTAACAGATTTTTTTTTATTAGATGTCTCCTGTATTGTCTCATCTAATTTCTTTCCGTTTCTGGCCGTGATAAACTTGCAACAACCACAACCCTCCTGAAGTGAAACCTCTTTCATCGAAGGTTGCTCCACCGATTCCAATCCGTGCAACAAGAAGGCCTACAGAATACGTATATATTCCACAAGTACTAAACTCCTCAAAGCCCTCTTTTCTTCTCCAACAAGGTCACACCCGGTCGATATCACCACCAACACAGAATTCATTTACACATTACCACACTTCACCCATCTTCCGAGATAGAACACCCCCTTTAGACCAGCAAAATGTTCTTCGCTACTATGCCCAGGCCTCAGGACCACAAGCAGCAGCACCCCAACTTTTTATCAGCAACGTTGCCGCTGGCGCTGTCTTTGTCATCCTCCAAAACACCACGGCTGGAGGTGTAGGACCAGTGATCCTCCACGTGGTGGTATCAATGGTAACTGGACGGCTTGCTGGAAATTGGTGGGGATCTCAGGTTCAGTCTGCTCAGCCTGTCCAACTGAATGGGACGGTAACGACGGGTGAATGGTATGCTTATTTCAGCCTCATGTACAGTATGTAATGTCAAAGGGTGGCGCTCATCTACAATTGCAGTACTGATGCCTGGGGATTGTGGGGCTGGTAGGTTGATAATGACGGAGTTGAAGAAGGCTGGGTGTGTAGCCAATTTATGATGCTAGGTTGAGACGCTATGGCTGGATACCTCGCATAGCAATCATAATATGCGTTATAGTATACGAAAGAATTAGTCTTAGCTTTCACGGTCCACCGTCTAAGCTTGAGAGATCATCTATCCCAACAGTAGTCTTTTATGGTCCTGGCTTCTACTAGGATCTCTCCAAGCATTTCCCCTTCACCATCCGAGCTTCCTGTCATGGCCTTCTGACCTCATCTAGGGCTTGATGCTTCCCAACATCTTCAAGGTCCATTGCACGAGGAGTTTAATAGACCCAAAGGTCTACTACAAAGGCCTCCTTGCGCTAGCAATGACCGAGACCCAACTGACATCCCACGATCCACCCTCGTACTTCTCCTCCAGATAGTTCTTCACCAACCCCTGCACCTCCTCCCTCGGGTGCGCCTTCCTCAACTCCCCACTCCAAGCGCTATCCATAATCCAGTCGAGCATCATGGCAAACTGGCCGACGAAATACTCGGCGTTGTCCACCTTGCTAAGGTGAGCATAGATATCAACATTGACATCCTCCAGCCCCTTGGCAGCGAGCGTTTTCCGGACCCAGTAGACATCAGACCATTTACCCCAGGCCGTCATCTGCAGGGCCCAGGTGTATGGTGCCTCAAAGGGGAAAGATGCAAAGGCTTCTCGGATGTCGTTGACCCAGGTTGGGGGGAGGTGCCAGGTGGTGAAGCCAAGAACACCGCCCGGCTTGAGAATGCGGATGGTTTCTTTGCGAGGGTTAGCAAAGTAGTTCGGGGAACGGGGCAAGGGACTCTCACTGACCATCGAGAGCCGCTTCCGAGTCAGGGACGACATGGAACCCAATATTGGTCGTCACATAGTCGAAGCTTGCCGATGGCAGTTTCGTTTTCTTTTCAAGGGATCACTACCCCATCAGCAAGTGTTTAAATCTGTGAAGACATTGGAAACACGGACCTGGGCATCGATTCTCCCCACCTCAGTATTCACCCACCCCTCCTCCTTGATCCTCTTCTCAATCAGCCCAATACAAGGGGTGGAGAAGTCGCCGCACAGAATGCTGCTCTTGGCCAAGACATCTGGCTTGATAGTCCTTTGAAGCACAGGAGCCACGACACCTGCTCCACAGGCATTTTCAAACAGCCTGAATGGGGCGACCGATTTGGTTCCATACAAGTCAATGCCCATCTGGGTGAGCATCTGGATAACAAGTGGGGTGCTGACTCGGCGTGCGTTGTCGAGGAGGACATCCTCCCAAGATGCAGTGGCAGAGGAGGCGGTTTTGTCGATGGTTTCAAAGAGCTTGCTGAGCTCTTTCGCGGCTTTGTGGATGGCAGCTTGGGCGGACATGATGTTTTCTTCGCTACTATTGCAACTGTAAAATGTGGATGGTGATAGTAAATGATTGAGATGAATCATTTCATCTCGAGCAGATGAGTAGCAGTCTTTTATGGGCGATTGAGGCTGTTGTGACTGTGTACATAATGTTGCCGAAATGTGTCCGTCGTTGGACGTTAGAACATGATGCTATGATTGATTGGTGGCCGCACACTTTCATTGTGTCCGAAAAGTACCCGGTCTATGCGATCATAAACCAATCCTGCCTGGTCGATTGTGCTGGGCGATGTGAGAACAAAAGTGGTGCACAGGCGAGGATATGAGATCAGACGAAGTGCATATGCGTGGAAGTGGGAATAAGTTCACGTTTGGGAGAGATCTCGTACCTGCTTCCAAACCAAGTGCAACATCAAAATTCATATCCGTTCCCTGCCATCAAATGTAATCCATAACCCATACCAGTTCACAATCTCAGCACGTCATCTTCCTCAGCAACAACCAGCATATCCTCCCACCCGCATTCATTCTCTCTCTCGCCCCCTTCCCCAGAGGAACTTGCCCAACGCAGCCCCCGCAGCAGCAATCCCCCCAACAACCTGTGTACCAGTCGTAACAGCCGCCGCTCCAGCTCCTCCAGCAGCAGCGCTCTGGCAAATGGCGAACACGCTACCTCCGACGACGTTTCCGATGCCAGCTTGGATCCCGGCGGCGATGGAAGCTATAAATCACAGCGTTCGTTAGCTGTGCTCACAACGGGGTGTTTATGCTGGAAGAAGGCAACTCAAAAGTGCAAACATACTAGCAGCAACGCCCTCAGCAGTAAACCCAACAGCAGCCAGAACCGGCGCAGCAATCGCAAGCGGAGCAGCAAGCGCAACTGCACCGACAGTAACAACCCCAGCGACGGCGGCAGTCCCCGGATTGCGGGCTACCATTCCCACGGCGTTCTTGATGTGGGCAGCCATTTCTCGATGTGTACAGTCTTCGTGTTGAAATCGCCAATGGTCTGATGCTGGATGCCTCGGTGTTGTGGTGGGACGATGACTGATATTTTGGGACATTTTTAAAAAGGAAAGAGCAAACGACACACGTGTCAAGCAGCAAACGGATGCCTTTCATTCATTTGCTGCTTTCGCTCCTGCTGCGTTTTGATTCGAGATAAACACTTCAGGTTGCACAACATCCATGCCTGGCAGGCCTCACTGCATTGCATAGTTTCAGGTAGCTTAACCACATCGTGACCTAAGTCTTGGAAAGTTGAAAATTACCCAGCCAACAGGCCTCACATGGCAATTTCAAGGCAGCCAAGGTTTGACAAAGGGTGCTCATTATCAATATACTACGCTTGAAAACATATACCCATGCCTCTACCCCAACGCTAACAAATGGCACCCGCCTGCATGGTCACGCTGGCCGGCTCAGACGTGCAGCCAGAGTCCGTCGCCTGGTGCGTCCTCCTCGCCTGGTGCGTCCTCGTGCCCTCAAGCTCAGACGTGCAGCCAGAGCCCGTCGCCAGGTACGTCCTCGTGCCCCGGGCCTCAAATCCAACACCGCAATCTCTACCAGCTCACAAGGGAGTTCGTTGAGACCATTCCTATCCACAATCACACAGGCGGCGCCACAGTCACCAAAATCGATCGTCCTGCAAACCGCCCCAATCGACACTAAGTAGGCGTTTTCGTCAGTATATATGTCCACTGAGCCAAAGGCCAATGAGGAATTGTGTGGAAAGGCATACGACTCGGATCCAGCCGTGGTTGCGGATGTATGGCGCCGTCTCTTATGGTCGCATGAAGCATAAAGCCGGGGGCAGCCACCAACATGAGACTAGCGTCACCAGTGTCATGGCTGAAGTAGGCGTCGTGATTGTAAAGGAAAATTGCGATCGTCTCACTCCCGTTTTCAGTATAAGGAACCAAGTCTTGCAGGTCGCTCTTCCAGGGGTGTCAGCACACATGAGAAAAGAATGACAGACAAAAATGTTTGCCTACAGTGCTCTGGTGATGTATCGTTGCGATGTGAAGGAAGCCCGCGTCAAAGGCAGCCAAGAGGTTGGGACAGGAAGTTTCCAGGGCCGATCGTCTCGCTGGAGTCATGAGCCAGAGTCTATTGGGAATATTTTCTGACATGTTGAGGTACGCTGATGCTTGAGACTCTAGGGGCGTGGCGAATATCGCTACTGGAGAGGACGCTGGAGGAACGGGTGTCGAAGGGAAGGGAAACAAGTTCGGGTTTGACGGGGAGAAATCATTTTAGCATGGTTGAAATTGGTGAGAACGTATGAGGAAAGAATGAGAGAGGTATAGCCTCAATCTGTCAGTTCTGGCAACCATAACACAACCAAATGGGGGCAGCAGCAAGATTCCGGTTCGCGCTGCGTGACGAGGCTGCCGTTGCTGCTTCTTGATTTGACACTCCCAGTTGCGGGGAACTCTCGGGCAACCTCGTGCCACCGCGCTTTCTTTTACCATCCGTGGCTGAACGGAGATGATCAAGATACCTCCTACCTTACCTTCAGCAGGAAGGAGCAGATCCACACAGCCACGACTCTACACCGCGCCGAAATCAAGATGGCAACCCCAACCAAGCTCTGTGTTTTTTGCCGCTCTGTGGAGCCCATCTCCCAACCCTGCGCTGCGCTTCCGACGTCAAAAGCCATCGAGCTGATTGCCCCTCTGCGAGCCCATGAGGAGGCACTCATCCTTGGACTCCAGCAACAACCCAGCGCACTTTGCCAACGATGTGCCGCCTTCGACATTGTTCGGGTTTTCAAGGACTCAAACCCCTTGGACAATTCCAAGCCTGAGTACCACACGCTCGACTACCGCCACTCAAGTCGGCAGTACGAGATGGATTTCGGCGAACTGGCATCGCTGGTACTGTCCCCATCCTGCCCGCTCTGTCGCTTGATTTTTCGAATCTTCCCCAGAGTAGGCCTTGGAACCACTGATGTCATGCTCAAGCTCGTACCATTCCGGTCCTACGTCCAACGAGGGGGGTGGAACTCGTTTCCAGCGCAGTTGAGAACAAACCCGGCCATTTTCCTTGGTGTCAATTCAGGGGGCACCTCAATCATCAGTGAACGTGAACCTCGGCCACTGGGCGGCGAGGTTCGCCGCTTTGGATATAGGACTGGGGAGTCGATTGCGCTTGCTGGAACCACACGATCAGGCAATGCGAGACACCTTGACCGCTTTGTCGACTTCTCAAGATTCTCGGGGGCATTGGAAGACTGCATCAAGAATCACGGACCTACCTGCCAGGTCACTGCCTCACCGGAACTGTCCCTCACGCGTATGATCGATGTCATTGACCGTAAAGTCGTCCCCTATCCTGACGGGTGCGACTACTTTGCCCTCAGCTATGTGTGGGGTGGCATCATGCCGGCCGCAGATGCTCTGGATGGCAAGACGCTTCCCGACACGATCGAAGACGCCATCGCCGTCACATGTAGACTTGGTCGGCGCTATCTCTGGGTCGACGCCCTCTGCATCGATCAGACCCCAAACCCGACTCCCATCCAACGCAGAGAAAAGGAGAAGCAACTCAGAATTATGGATCAGATCTACTCCTCTGCCACACTCACCCTCGTTGCCGTGGCAGGCAACAACTCTAATGCTGGCCTTCCCGGGGTGGCCCGCCCCCGCACTCACCAATTGCGCGAGACCATCGCAGGCCACACCGTCTTCACCGTTCCCCCAACCGTTGGGGAAGAGATCGCTGCCTCCACTTGGTCAACACGCGCATGGACACTACAGGAATCGATGCTTTCAGTCCGTTACCTCTTCTTCACCAGCACCCAGGTCGAGTTTGCCTGTCCTGAGCACAGGGTGCCTGAAACACTGGAAATTACAAAGACTGTGCCAAGCTGGCCCCAGTCAATGCCGGGAATTTTGAAGAGTGTAGAGTTGGTACTGAGTCAGTGGAAGCAGGCACCTGATGATCTACTCGGCTCCATGTATTGGACTTATATTATGGACTATACGGCTCGACGGATGACGAATGATGAGGATTCGCTCAACGCGCTGGCCGGGATCATTGCGGTCTTGGAGAAGAACGTTCCAGCTGCGGCGTGTGTCTGGGGGCTTCCGTTGGCAGCCTTTCCACGGTTCTTGGGGTGGATGCATCTCTGCGAAGGCGGGACGCCGAAGAGAAGAAGCGCATTTCCGAGCTGGTCATGGGCCGGTTGGGAAGGGGAGGTGTCACTCAATGAGGCGCTGCAGATGTCCAGGGAGGAGAGAAGAATGCGATTTCGTGACTTGACATGCGACATGGAGATTCAGTACTTGGGTGTGAATGGGGCCCAGATCGAGGTGGAAGGATGGCGAGTTTGTTTGGAGATACGCACTGAGCCACTCAGCGAGGCTGTGCTTCCTGGGACAGATAGGATGATGGGGTACATCAAAGAACGAGATTTTATTCACGGCAATACGATTCCTTCTGGCGGATATGAGTGTTTGGTCGTTGAAAGGTTTGCCTACCGAAACAGCAGGGATGGACCGGTATATCAGAAGGTCTTCATGATTGTTTTGGAATTTGGCGGAGTTGGCTCAGGGGTTGCCAGGAGGAAGACATTCATCACACTTGATACTTTGGCAGGAGTGGACTTTGTATGCTCGGGGCCTAGGAAGGAGAGAGTGGTGTTGGAGTAAGTGGACAAGGGATTTTTTGTTGATGTCGAGTGCCATACAATGCTATCCTCCGATGACAGGTTATAGGATGGTCAATGACTGTTTCAGTTACCGGAGAGGGTGTTTTTGGTATATTGTTGGACATTGAACACGATGTATTCTGCGGAGTCGAGAACTCGGGTAGTCGCACCAGCAACTATAAGATACTCGGCCAGCCCTTAGCCATTCTAAAGTAGGGACAGGAGAAGATACACCCTCAGCACCATCATTAATTCTAGTCACAGTCCCTTTGCGCCGTCAAGAGTCTCCGGTTGGTTTCCTTCGAGTTCCTTCATCGCTACTTCAGATAATATCTCAACGACTTCGTGGGCAATGGCAAGGTAAAAAAAAAACTCAGGGTCAGGTGGCAAGTCAGCCACGGAAAATTCCGTCACGCTGCAAACCACATGTAGGTCGACGGCTAGGCATCGAATGCCTTTCCTGCCGAATCTCTGCCCAACGTACGCAGACCTGCAACTTCTGAACATGCAGACAATCAATTCAAGGGAAATGTGATGTCGATTCTGGAAGAATTCTCTGCCGAATTCTGAGGTGAATTTCCTTATGGTATCTCTACATTCACCCCCTCGATCTTCCAACACTTCAGGCTTGGCCGTTAAGCGCCAACAGAAAATAAATATTGAAACTTAGAAATAAAACCCGGCGGCGATCCCAGTTTACGTATTATTACGATAATCTATTTCCAGCTCTGTAAAGACAATCTATCTAGGTACTATATCGCTATTGTCTATCGACTATATATTTTGACCGATCGCTCTCATTATCCTCGTGGTCGTTATATCCGTATCTTACCAAGGCTAGGTAAGAGAGCGGTAATCTAATCATTCCTTTACATTACATCAGGCAGCCTGGCCTGCGGCACAGTAGAAGCTACATTACCCATACCGCGCATTGGAAAAATATAAGATTATAGCCCTAAACGTCCGTTAAAAAAAATACTACTACTACCACCGCCTCCACGATTACTACCCGGACTCCCAACCCCAGCCCCAAATCGCTAGAGCAAGCGAAAAAACGCTAGCCAGCCTAAAACGTCTTGCTAAAAAAGCGCCCACCTCGTCCAGCGCCGCCGGCGGTCTGTCCCCATTGTATCCTTCCCCCCCAATATCATTCCTTGCTCTTGCCTAATCTTCAGTCAGCACAGTGCTATGATAAGTAGTAAGTCAAATTTGGATGAATTACGGTACAAGGTCAATTGGGGGTTTGGGACACCGGTGGAGGTCACCGCACGCGCAGCGCGCGAGGACGAGGTGGGCGCTCTCAGGCGCGGCAGTAAGCTCGGCGATGGTGGCCTTGTTGTTGTTGTTGTTGTGTTCCGTAGCGGGAGCCTGTGAATCTAAATAGTCGTATATTTCTGGCGTGCCGATCTTGGGCCCTGATGTCAATCTTAAACGGCCTCCGCCCCCTTTAACTGAGCCTAGCCCACGGCTAACTCTTTTTGTACAGCAGACTGCTATCTTCCATGTAAATCCGTCCATAAATAAAAACACCCAAGGGACAGGACTAGGCCACAATGGCTGTCCTTAATCCTGTCGCAGCGTTTGCTATTGCCTCCACCATTTGTGGGTAGCTAATCATGTCAGCCCATCACGGCCCAATCCCATCAATGGTGAAATGGTGAGAAAACACACAAAACAACCACAACACCACAAATATACCCTCAACAGGTCTCTGAATGAACACACCTGCGTGACAGTGACTCGCTCGCAGGCCGCACTTCACGTAGGACAAAGAAAAAACACTATGGGCTCGCAGGCCACATAATAAGCACCGGATTGGCCTGATCAGAGGGCCAGAATTGCCTGCACGCGTGCAAGGCACAAAATACGAAGAAAAATAAAAGTCGATGCCCTGTCTAGAATAGAATGTCAGAAGCAGACCGTTTATATACATGACCCCTGAACCCCCGAATCCTCCGAGAGCCCCACTTCCTCACTCATACCCTCAGGCCTGTGGCCGCACCCCAAACCAATGGACATGGTCCAAAAGTGACAGTTACTCGAATGGGCAACTACAAAACGCTCTCCTGCTCAAACGGCACTTACCTAGGTACCTTGCCCTTCCTGGGGTGAATTTTCCCAAGTGAGAAACCGCACCTTCCCCAGCCAAGATGCAAGCTTGCAGTTACCATGATGGATGACGCAAGACGGCGAGAATGTTCCCTTTGGCCCCAACCCAGGTCCACATCATGTTGCTGTGCTAGTGCCCAGCACGGGTTCAAATATCCCAGATTTGAAAGTTCGCATTGAGGCCCTTTGGGTCACTAGGGCCAGCTCGGGAAGATGAATCACGGCAGGAAGTTTCGAACTGAAAAATGGAATGTCGTTCGTTCTTCGGTTGCCCGCGGTTTGTGCCTAGATGGGTGAAAGGAATTGTGTAAAATAATTGGGTGGTTTGAAGGCTTGAAAGAGACGGGGTTACGGTGTCTATGAAGGCGG